AGGTCACAGCAGGCAAATCTGTTTTTGGAGTTGGAAAACGGTGTTGCCACAATATCTCAAGAACTAATCGCTGGATTGTCTTCATATTTGGTACTATGGTGTATATGGCGGGGGATATTTCGTCACTCTGTGACAAATACTTGTTTGTAAATTAAATTGACAAATATTGTGTGGTATATAACATTTGTTTGCAGAATATTAACCTGTTTATTTTATTTTTATATTTCTGTAATAAGATTTAAATAAAATAAATATGACAGGTACACTATCTGTTAGGCTCCCTGTATCTAATTAATCTGTTGATTTCATATAAGAAGATTGTTTTTCGCATCTTTATTCTCAAAATAATGTGATCATGACTGTGTCCCCCCAACTGAAAAGAGAAACAACCCTATTCCACTGAAACACATACATGCCTGATGCTAAACATATAGTTTTTTGGTTTTGATTTTTCATTTAACTTTTATAAAACTGATACAAGTCCATATCTTGTTTCTAGAAAAATATATGGAGGATATTTCATGTGGCGAGTGAAATATCACGTTTCTCTCATCGAGTGACATGGAAGAAGATATTTTCACGAGTGGGTTTGTTTCCCCACAAGGGCACAATGTGTGAAGCCTATTTCTGGTGTCCCCTGATGCAATTTCACTAGAATATTGCTAAAAGCAGCATAAAGTCATACTCATTCACTCACTTCAGGGGTCAAAAGTGAGGTGAAACATGGACATATTCAGGGTGGGCCCTGCATTTGGAGGACATATTCAGGGTGGGCCCTGCATTTGGAGGACATATTCAGGGTGGGCCCTGCATTTGGAGGATGAACATTTAAAGTAAATAAAAAAGCTACCATTTGGACCTTCAGCACTGTGAACTATTGTTTACTTAATTCTTACTTTTTTAAGAGGATATTGCTTGACAAGACGATGAAAACAGGATACAAAAATGTAGTCCAAGTATTAATAGTGTTCTGTCAGAAACGGGGCGGTCGGGTAGCCTAGTGGTTAAAGCGTTCGCTCGTCACGCCGAAGACCCGGGTTCGATTCCCGACATGGGTACAATGTGTGAAGCCCATTTCTGGTGTCCCCCGCCGTGATATTGCTGGAATATTGCTAAAAGCGGCGTAAAACAATACTCACTCACTCACTCACTCTGTCAGAAACTTTCCTTCCTGGTCTTGTGTGTCCAAGACTTTGCAGGTATTGAAGGTGTTTCTTCACACACACAGCCAATCCCACATACCAACAAGGCCTGCTATTGCTGCTCCTGTTACAATCAATCTTCAGGCTTGACAGGTAGGAATTCTTTACAAATTTTGCTTAAGAGTAGTTTGAAAAATTGGTAATTTTACAGCAGTATCATATGACGAAAGAATTCGGGTATTTGATGTCATTTTCATCTAAAATACTCCCCATATATTTTTGGGATGAGTCAATGACAATAGGTCTGTCATAACTCTAACAGTAAAGGCCCAAGACAAGGGGTCTGTCATAACTCTAACAGTAGAGGCCCAAGACAATAGGTCTGTCATAACTCTAACAGTAAAGGCCCAAGACAAGGGGTCTGTCATAACTCTAACAGTGAAGGCCCAAGACAAGGGGTCTGTCATAACTCTAACAGTGAAGGCCCAAGACAAGGGGTCTGTCATAACTCTAACAGTAAAGGCCCAAGACAAGGGGTCCCTATATTCAAATACTGTATGAGGAACCTTAATTTCAAATGGAATAAAGAAATTAGTTAGGGTTTTGTTTTATTGATTTGGGCTATTTTAAATCCTGAATCTTTTTGGCTATTGGGGATATGGCATTGTACACTACAATTTCATTCTTAATGTCAAATACTGTATTGAATTGTGGTTATCAAATCACAACACACTTCTGATTACTAAAAACACAAAAATTGCTATTTTTATCACACTATACATTCCATCCATGACATAAAATCATGTTCCTTACCCGTTCCCATAATACAGTTTTTTTCCATCCCATTAGTTTCAATTAGGAGAGAAACATCCTGTGATTCCGATGTAGAGCCAGGTTACCTGTGTATTCATCCTCGCTAAATTGGATGTGGAACTGAACACACAGTATGAAGTTTCAAATGTTAGATTTGAACATCGGTTCACGTAAAGACAGTATGTTCGTTTGTGCATCGAACCAATCTAATATCTCTTGAATAGGTGTAATGTTTCACATATTAACCAATATTGAAATAGTGAGTGAGTGAGTTGGGTTTAACACCGCTTTTAACAGTATTCCAGTTATATCGCGGCGTGTCACCTTAATGTGGGATGAAAGCCCGAAGTGATGCAGGCCTCGGACGTTTATCACTTAGGGGGAACCCACGGGTATGGTGCTGAAAAACCTAGAAACATAATTGGGGCGAACCGGGATTCGAACCCACAATCATAGGTTTCAGGCGTGCCCAAGGTACGCAACTCTGCACAGCGAATCGCGGCGCCTTAGACAACTGGGCCACCCGTGCCCCCCAATATTGAAATAAGTATCATTTTGCTGTGTATACTGGTATACTGGTTATACTGGTTATACTGGTATACTGTTATACTGGTATACTGGTTATACTGGTTATACTGGTATACTGGTTATACTGGTTATACTGGTTATACTGTTATACTGGTATACTGGTTATACTGGTTATACTGGTATACTGGTTATACTGGTATACTGGTTATACTGGTTACACTGGTATACTGGTTATACTGGTATACTGGTTACACTGGTTATACTGGTATACTGGTTATACTGGTATACTGGTTATACTGTTATACTGGTTATACTGTTATACTGGTTACACTGGTATACTGGTATACTGGTTACACTGGTATACTGGTTATACTGGTTATACTGGTATACTGGTATACTGGTTACACTGGTATACTGGTTATACTGGGTATACTGGTTATACTGGTTATACTGGTATACTGGTTATACTGGTATACTGGTTATACTAGTATACTGGTTATACTGGTTATACTGGTATACTGGTTATACTGGTTATACTGGTATACTGGTTATACTGGTATACTGTTATACTGGTTATACTGGTATACTGGTTATACTGGTATACTGGGTATACTGGGTATACTGGTTATACTGGTATACTGGTTATACTGGGCAGTCCTAGTCGTAATGTAACAGGAACACTGGCTCTGCATCAGGGGTTTAGCCAGGTGGTTTAGGTGTTGGCTTCTCACGCCAAAGTCCCAGGTTTGAATTTCCACATTGGTACAGTGGAGCCCATTTCTGGTGAATTTGCTGGAGTTTGGGGAAAGCTGCATAAAACTCACTCACTCACTCACTCACTCACTAGGGCTGCGACAATGCATCAAAATATCCATTTATGTTCAGTGTTGCGGGTGTGGGTGAATGCAGTTTGTTTCATTAATTTTAATAGTATCATAGCTACCTGTAAATAACGAGTCTAGACACTTCAAACCAATGACTGATAGCATGAGCAGTGTTCCACATCACAGAGCTGGACCACCTGAACCAGTTTAGTTGCCTTGGTCACCTAGCAACGTAAGTGATGGAGGTCTGTTCTATCCCGGGGCATGTTTTGTCCCACACTACACTCCTCTTTTATACTTTTCATACAACATGTACAATGAAGTTCTATTTGTGACAAACCTGTTAAATGTTTTACCAACTCAACTCAAGTCCTGATTGTGTTCAGTGCAGAATTATCAGACCATGAGCTGGCGTTCAAGTCAAAGTCTAGAGCACACCTGTTATGATGTAAAACAAGGATGCATATCCCTGCAACTCTTCTCAGAAATACTTTGCATGGGGCTTTTCTCAGAAAGCTTTGATAATGTTGATATGGATTTCCTGCGAATGAGACGTAACATGCAGGTGCGTGTCTTTCTGTTGCATGTGTCCTGCTGTGTAAACCTGGTATACTGGGCAGTCCTAGTCATAATGTAACAGGAATACTGGCTCCACATTCATTTACAATACAATGTTTGATACATTCATGAAGGTTAGATTAGGTCCTGACCCGTGAAGATCCGGGGTAGAATAGGTCTTCAGCAACCCATTCTTGACGTAAAAGGCGACTATGGTTGTCATATAAAGTGGCGACTAGCGGGATCAGGTGGTCAGGCTCTCTGACTTTGTTGATGCATGTCATTGGTCCCATTTGCATAGATCAGTGCTTGTGATGTCAATCACAGGATTGTCTGGTCCAGACTTGATTATTTACAGACCGCCATCATATAGCTGGAATATTGCTGAGTGCAGCGTTAAACAACAAACAAACAAAAGATTAGGTCCCAAGCATCCGATGCTTGGATAAGTGCTAAGGCATCGTGACTTTGTTGACTGTACATCTATAGCCAGATGTCATTGTACGTTGCTCATAATATTAATCCTTGGTTGTCTGGTCTAGACTTGATTATTTACAAAACCCCATGATATGGCAGGAATACAGCATTAAAACAAGAAACGTTCGTGAGCATGTTTCGGTCACTCATTCACATGATATGGTAAATACAATCAAAACTATCGATATTCCTAACTGAAATCGATACTATTGATCGGAAACTGATTTAACAATCGATTCATTGACTTTAAGTGCTTACCAATAGCAATATATCGATATTTCGATTCATCGTGACACCCCTAATTATTTCATTACATTGCTGGGCCTGTGTCATGTATCACTGTGATGAAACTTGGCAGAGATTAACTGCACACTATGAAGTGGTTGGTTTCTCCTTCCTGCTGTACTTGGAGTTGGCTTGGTGATATGGCTTAAACAGTGCCTATGTAATGTAAAATTTAAATTCAAACTTAAACTTAAGCTCACCGGTAGTTGAAACTGAATGTTATTCACTGCTTGTGGGTAGACATTTACAGCCTTCTTTGACTTGAGAGATTGCATCGACTTTTAAGGTGAGTCTGAAAGCCAAATCTTATTGCAAGGTATAATCATTCAAATTTTTTATCATGGTATTCATAAGGTTTTTAGCCAGGTGGTTTAGGTTTTGGCTTCTCATGCCAAAGTCCCAGGTTTGATTTTCCATATGGGTACAGTGGAGCCCATTTCTGGTGATTTTGCTGGAATATTGAGAAAGCAGCATAAAACTTTTATATACTTTTCATATAACATGTACAATGAAGTTCTATTTGTGACAAACCTGTTAAATGTTTTACCAACTCAACTCAAGTCCTGATTGTGTTCAGTGCAGAATTATCAGAGCATGAGCTGGCGTTCAAGTCAAAGTCTAGAGCCTTTTATGATGTAAAACAAGGATGCATATCACTGCAACTCTTCTCAGAAATACTTTGCATGGGGCTTTTCTCGGAAAGCATTGATAATGTTGATATGGATTTCCTGTGAATGAGACGTAACATGCAGGTGCGTGTCTTTCTGTTGCATGTGTCCTGCTGTGTAAACCCGATATGTTGCGTCATTGAGGATATTCGACGGCAAGATGCAGAATGCATGAAGACCGTGGATATATACCCGTATGGCTTCCTACAAACGATCCTGTGGGGATCCAAGGTCACAATTGATCCCCAGCAACCCATGCTGTAACCATAATAAACAAAGACATAAAACAAACAAAGCTACAAATGGATACAACTTTTAATATGCATTTACAATTAATAAACTGCAAGTGCTTTCTGAGTGCAGAGTTTCAGCTTTTGTGTATGCATGTCAAGTTGACCATCAACAGCTTCCAAAAATAATGATAAAATACAGAGCATTACCATGGGAACTGAAGATTAGGAACGGTGGGACATTTACAGTTTGACTGAGATGCAGGTGTACAATATGGAAAAGTACTGGCAGAAGGATGGATATTTTGGATACCTTTCAAAGCCAATAGATTCATATGATACTTCAGGTGAGACTTTTGGTTGAGTATTGAGACTACTTAGAATTTGTCTTCCGGATGGGTTCCCAGTTGATAAAATACCTTATGCTGGTCATAAAAGCCATCTAAATGTGTCGTCCTACCACGCTGACCAGGGACGTTGATCAGGCCAGTATACAGTTGCTAGATTAGTTACATGCAGAGTGACTTAGGTTGAATATTCCTGCCTGTGGCATATAACTGTCAGCATACACTGATGGGATACAAGATCAGTATCTTTTGTCTCCCCTGTCACAAGCTGTGGTAACCGTATCTCTGTGCAGCTCCCAAAAACTATTTTGGTATTGACTCTCGCTTCTCTATCTAATCTTGCTTATCTTGCTGGGAATTTTAGTCAATAATTCAGTGACAATGCAGCCCTTGTATCGATGTATGGAGCTTAAAAGTAGTTCTTGCTAGCTGACCTCATTTGCATAATTATTGGATTATCACACAAACTTAAAAGGAATGATTTATCGCATCGCATTTATTTATTTATCCAGTTAACTCAACGCATCCATAGGATGCTTCCATAAGACTTCTGATGAACTTCGACATTTACTTTTAGGAGATTATCTATTTTTGATTGGTGGTCAAATTCCACATTATTGCGGCAAGGAAAGTTAATGTTACTTCCTGAATTGGTAGCCTAGTGTAGCACATGTACCCCTGAAACAGCATAACACTGTTGTACACCTTGAAAACAGTGTTGTACACCTTGAAAACAGTGTTGTACACCTTGAAAACACTGTTGTACACCTTGAAAACACTGTTGTACACCTTGAAAACAATGTTGTACACCTTGAAAACAATGTTGTGGACCAGAAACAGTGTTGTAAACAATGAAAACAATGTTGTGGACCAGAAACAGTGTTGTAAACAATGAAAACAATGTTGTGGACCAGAAACAGTGTTTGTAAACAATGAAAACAATGTTGTGGACCAGAAACAGTGTTGTAAACAATGAAAACAATGTTGTGGACCAGAAACAGTGTTGTAAACAGTGATATCTGAAAGTATATAAAAAATAGTGTAAATTTATCACCATTTGTCCAACAACCTTACTTTGATTCATTCATGAAACAACAAGACATATACTTTGCAGCTACATAAACCATGACAACAAAATGAACAAATCAATACAAATTCATACATGCCACTATTGGTATTTGACAAAGTTGTTAGCATGATCATGAAGTGGAACTTAATACATGTATAATAATGAACGTGCTTCCAATAATATTGTCGTAGCAACATTTATAAGATGATAATCCCAATTGTTTATCCCTATTTTTTTGTACATCGACTGTCTGCCATCATGAATGAGATGTGCAAGTATGTCACTGATGAATTACTTATGTATATATTTATGACTTACAAAATGTCAGGTGACCTTGGCTATATAAGCCTTAGTCCATAGATGAAAATCAGAGAGAGAGAAAGAGAAAGATCTTAGCCTTAGCCTAGAAAGGGTTAGGCTGGGTGCTCCGGGGCACCTAGACAACAACCACTACCACTATATGCTGATCTGGCACATAGTGTCTTTTGTATGTATATCTACCTGTATAAAGTAAAATTGTATATACCGCAAGCCATCATCTCCAAGTCTTCACTTCCTACCAAGAACCTATGCCGACCCCTTGCATATACAAGTATGTACATCATTCATTATCAATGTCACGTGCATTGCAGACACACAGTGCGTTGTTAATGTATAGTCAAGATATTGAACCACATTGACAGGTGGAGTTTTGTGTCAGGTTCACTGTATGAAGTTGTGTGTCACTTTTTCACTGGTTCACTGTATGGAGTTGTGTGTCACTTTTTCACTGGTTCACTGTATGGAGTTGTGTGTCATTTTTTCACTGGTTCACTGTATGGAGTTGTGTGTCACTTTTTCACTGGTTCACTGTATGGAGTTGTGTGTCACTTTTTCACTTGTTTACTGTATGGAGTTGTGTGTCACTTTTTCACTGGTTCACTGTATGGAGTTGTGTGTTACTTTTTCACTGGTTCACTGTATGAAGTTGTGTGTCACTTTTTCACTGGTTCACTGTATGAAGTTGTGTGTCACTTTTTCACTGGTTTCACTGTATGGAGTTGTGTGTCACTTTTTCACTGGTTTCACTTTATGAAGTTGTGTGTCACTTTTTCACTGGTTCACTGTATGGAGTTTGCTGACTTGCCAGTCAGAAAGCTGGTAACCATGACGAGTACTAGGCCTTATCTCATAGCTATCTGCCATGGCTGTTGTAACTCCGGTACTTTAATATAGATTTATAACCAGGCCATGTGTTCGATATCAAGTTGTGGTAAAATTACAAATCAATACAAGTTCTACTTCTGAGAATGAGATTGTGACAGGTGCCATGTGGCCTGGCATCCATTTTTCAAAATCAAGGGCAGGTAACTCAAAAGAGTATATATCAGGAATATATTGGCAGTAGAAATTAATGCATGATACCCTTCTACCTTTGGTCATTTTCTCTAGTTAACCACTCTTTGGTCCTGGGGATGATGTAGCTCTCAAATCACAAGTCAACTTGGGTGCTCCAGTCCATTTTTTTAAGACAGAAGTTGTATACACAAGGTCCTCAGTTATCTTCTTGTTTCCTGTCTTACTTAAACACAACACATACCTAGGTGATGTATGAAGAGCCTGATAGCTTTTCTGATCAATGATTAACTTAACTACTTTTCTGACCCGGAATTCCAATCTACAGAGAGGACCTCTCTGTTCAGCCGTAAGTTTCTGAATCCCCGCACCACTCCCGGTCAACTCACTAAATACTATTGATGATAATTTTAGCTCCTCCCACCGAAATAATATTTGACGTCATGTGAAATGAGTCCTAACGCTCACCTCCATATGAACCCTAATTTCCATTCGAATCAGTTTTTCTATCAAGCCCTTCTTAACCATTAACTAATTTCCTAACTCATTGGTCAACTGATATACTCATAATAACATACTCATAATTCAACCTCTTTATGACAAAAACCCAACACTCTGTCAGACTGGAAGGCGCCGAAAAGATACTTAATCATGTTAATCAGACCTTCCAATGAAGCAGTAGTACTCAGAAATATTCGATCATCTCAAGACTGACAATTTGTTCCATCCATTCATTTCCCCTCTGATACTTATATTGCAAGACTAGATTCTACTAATTTCATTTTACTAATGAAAAAGTTATCTCTATCACTAAGAGAAGCAAAACCAATAATCATTTACCCTGTGGGTGATGCCCTCAGCATGTACAGTCCCTTCTCTCATCTCCATCTATATTTTAAGTAAATATTAAATAAGTACCAAAATACCCTGGTTATAGCTAGATCATTATGAAAATAAACATTGCCAATCGTGTATGACATCATATTTTATCATCCAAAACCGACTTCCACAAGATATCGCTTGGGTGAGATCAAGATATCTCCTAGGTGATATCTCCTAGGTGCATTACAATGCTTTGCAGACCATTGTGACATAATCAGTTACCATGACGTCAAATGACACCACATTGACAATCCAATGGCATCACTAATATTTCTGCCACTGAAGCAGGGTGCTGTTGTACAAAGCGATTGTAGCGCTAAGGTGATCGTATCTCCCATACGCTAACATAGACTTAAGACAGTCGTAGCACTAAGGTGATCGTATCTCCCATACCTTAACATAGACTTACGACAGTCGTAGCACTAAGGTGATCGTATCTCCCATACCTTAACATAGACTTACGACAGTCGTAGCGCTAAGGTTGTTTTGTACAACGGCACCCTGGTGAGGTGTACTTTATACTGATGGCCTTGGTTACCACTGTTCACAAACTGAAAAAGTCAGAAGAATGATTTTGGATGATGAATAGAATCTCATCCATGTGGATTTTTCATATCAAATATATTAACATTTCTGTCTGCAGTTGCAACACAATGAAGATTAACTACACTGACAAGCTTTGTTTGTTTTGATTGCTGTAAATACATCGTACCTACATGAAAGTCCAATCGGTCAATCACTGTAATAGGCAATAAACTGAGTTGACACTGATTAATCGAGGATTAATTACTGAGAACATCTTGTTAATTTGAATGAAAGGTGTTTACAACTGTACATTAATACCTTGCATCATCGATGTACCTCATTATCCTCACAATGCTACGATACGTAACCTCAAACAAGAAGCGAAAGCGTGACGACAGCCAGTCGACCGATGCAGATCAGTCGAGCGGATCTGCCAAACCCTCAAAGTCTGGACGATCATTTTGTAAGTCGTGGCTAACAGCTTTCACTTGGTTGACATACAATGAGGATTTGCAGATTTTATTTTTTTCTGTAGCTAGTCGTAAACTGAATCTTGATTGACCGCCATTTTGCTTTCTCGGACGATCGATATCCAATTTTTTTATGGTCAATAATTAAGGACAGATGAAAAGGTATTCAAATAACTATTGCTATCAACGATATTTTAGTATTTGTGATTAAATTATCTGTCTTGTTTTTAAAAAAATCTTTAGTTTAAAAAAAACCTTTTCCCATGAGGTCACGTGATAACCAAATATGGGATAATAGTCTCGATCCAAATGTTACAACGCGTACACTTGAGCAGACTCATGAATATAACTCATGAATATTAATTAGACCGTTCACTCCGTTAATAGATCGTTATTATAACAGAAACAAACGTATGTTTTCCATGTAAATCTAAAATGATATTATTTGTTATTAATTGTCCGGTGAATTAAACAATTTAAATTGAAACAATTCATAATTCATCATATTATGAATACGTAAACTTGTAATGTGTGTGAAAAGTCGTACTAAAATACGCTATTTGAAGGGGGCGTGGCCTAAATGCAAATGTCCGATTGGGATTTTAAATTTTCCGGACCCCTGGATAAAAGGTTAACATTCCTTGACAAATCTCAAAGTTTTAAAACTTTTATCGACTTGTGTTGATACAGTTGATATCCAAAGACACTCGGGTGAGATTCTCTATTGGCAACTTGTCAAATGATCATAAATTAAAAGCAAAACATGTACTGTATATCGCTGCGTATAAAGCGACCCCCCTGTACACGCCTGTGTCCATCGTTGATTTTTATACCCCCGACTTTTAAAAGTCAAACTTAGTACATATAACCTGTGTCATATGGAGTGGTGCAGTCAAACGAAAAAAATTGTTTTTATAAATTTTCCATTTTTTAATGAATTTTTCAAACCCTAAAGTCCGTCCGAAAAATTTGTCCGCTCGATATCTCTTAAACTATTCAGTGGATTTATCTCAAACTTATTACATATAATCTGTATCATATGGAGAGGTGCCGTCAAAAGATGAATTTTTCAAACCCTCACCCTATCCTAGCTATTTAATTTGAAACTACTGACACACTAGGCGGGTCGGGGTATTAGTGAACCATGCTCACTTTTTTTTCTTGTTTTTAATGAAAATCAAAATTTCCGAATTGAGGTGGGAGAGAAATGAAGCCTAATTGTTTGGAATGCTGACATCTGAGAGAACCCAAGCATTCTTCATCTGGAAGGTTCGCCTGATGGAACCTTCTGGGGGGGTGTCCTTAGATCTAAACGCAGAGAGGTATTGTGGAGTGAAAGACCTGACATTAATGAGATTACCTCTATGAAGGGATCTATAACATATGCATATTTATCTTAAAAAGTAAACTCAACTAAAAAACATTTTAAAGTCTTCAAGGCAGGTCAAACTGAAATTAAAAGTAAATCAGATTTACTACAATATAACTTTGAGAAATGTAAAATAAAACAAGCATGTTTTTTGTGATTTAAGATATGGATCTTTTATAAGCATTACTATCTTCCTGTTGCACTCCCTCAGTAACCATGGTGACATAACATGATCCGTTATTTGCCTCTCGGGAGGTCCACATTTAGAGAGGTCATTAGAAGTATGGTGCCAAAGAGCCTTTAATCTTACCTGCCAAATTAGTCCTCTGTGTCTGAAGTAGAACTATCTGCCTTACTGTGGGCCTTGACTTCTTCAAGGGTCTCTGATAACAAGCCCACCTGAGAGGGAGAAATGGTGGTTGGAGAAAGAGTAAGAAAAACAATGACAATTATTTGTCAATCATGGAATTCTCATTGATATTATGCGAAAAGTTTCAAAGGCCTTTCAAATGTTTGCTTTGTGCAAAGTTTGTTTTTTTGTACGACAAATTTCCTGATGTTGATGAGTGAGTATGGTTTTCCACCACTTTTAGCAATATTCCAGCAATATCACAGCAGGCACAGACCCGTTGAAGATCCAGGGTAGAATAGGTCAGGCTCGCTGACTTGGTTGATGCATGTCAGCAATCCTAATTGCGTGGATCGATGCTCATGATATTAATCACTGGATTGTCTGGTCCAGACTTGATTATTTACAGACCGCCGTCATATAGCTTGAATATTGCTGAGTGCGGCAACCAACTAACCACAGCAGACGCACCAGAAATGGACTTCCCATGTTATGGGAAATTGATCCCGGGTCTTTGACTTGACAAACTAACACTTTAACCTCTAGGCTACCCCACATACACTTCATCAGACAAAGTAGGAGAAAGAAAATGAATCTGACCTGTGAGCTTCCAGCTTCAGAAGCTGATGATGATGGCAGTTCAGACTCAGCACAAGTGCCATCAGCGGCACTGCTTGAAGATGCAGATGTCTTGGGTTGGTTGACATCTTTATCTGTTTCCCTTGCCTCTGGTGTCCACGGCGTCAGCCCTGCAGGGCCACTTCTGTCTGATGTGGATGTCTGGAGTCTGGAGGCTGAAGCTTTCTGCAGGCTTTCAGGTCCTCCAGGTTTTGGATCCTCCTCATCTTTTGTCCTTGGAATCTGTACTTCAGTCTGAGCAGCTACAACAGGAGACATCTGAGCCAATGTGCCTGGACTCTCCTTCCAGGCAGGAGTAGGACCTTGTTTAGGGGTTTTCTTTCTAACAGCACCATTGGACTTAAGGTGTGTGAGCTTTGTATCTGGGTCACTGCAAGAGTCTTCAGTATAAATACCTACAGCACCGGCCTCTTCCTTCAAACCCTCACTACCTACAGGTCCGGGAGCTGGAGTTTCAGAGGTCTTTTCATGTCTGGAATGATTTGATGGAAGGATGGCTGAGAGACCTGTGTCATCTCTGGGTGCCGTAGTCTGGCTGGGTGGATCCTCACCACTGATACCTTCGGACTCAGTGAACATTGTGGTTGCTGATCCTGCATGGCTGTCCTGATGGACAAGTGTGTTGCTCTGTGGAGCTTGTGCCATGGAACTGAAGCTGCTGGAAGAATCTGATGATGGCTGTGAAGACAGGGTTTGGAGGGGTGGAGATGGAGTGTTTTTCTGCTTTGTTACAACCAGTGCAGAAGTGGCAGAGTTGTTGATGGGAGGCAATGGAAGAGTTGTTAAATCTGGACTTTCTTTACATGTGAGTCCGCCTGCTTCAGGACGAGTTGCCGCATGATCACAAACAGGTTCAGCTCCTTGAGATGATGCAGCTGGAGTGATGGTACCCTGGCTGAGTCCACCTGCTTCAGGAGGAGTTACTGCATGATCACAAACAGGTTCAGCTCCTGGAGATCGGTCGACCATCAATCCTGTGCTTGGTCTACGATCTGCAACTGGACCCTGTTCTCCTTTTCTGATTCTCAGTCTCAGGCCCATATCATGGATAACTCCAGTTTCATTTTGCACAGGTGGGCATGTTTCTGCTTGAGGTTCCCTTTGTGTTTCTTGTCTGTTTTGTTCAGAGTTTCCTCCATAGAAAAACTTGTAAATCAACTGCTGTAACTTAAATTTTCTTTCTTGTAAGGTTCTAATGAGACAAAACCTTTTTAGGTATTCTCCTCTCTCCTGTGAAAACTTGTCCTTCGAGTAGTTTTCAGAAGGCTCCTCTTCCCCTGAAACAATTTCAGAAGTAAGTAATTATAATGGCTATTTTGAATTTTGATATGACACTTTATATCATATATTTTTTGTTTGATAAGGTGCAGCTGGTAGATGATCTGACAATGATACATTTATCATGGCCTGTCATCTCATTACGTTCGGCATATGTTTTAGTTCGTCCACATGTTCAAAGATAGTTTTGCTCTTGAATCTTCCCATGTCTGAGATAATTTTGAGAGTGAGATCATACAATGAGAATTGTTGGTTTGGAAGGAATGTTGACAATATCAGAGAGCCCTTATCCCCATGATCACTGCTTATAGGTGTAGACTAAGTTGTGAAGATCCAGGTTAGAATTGGTCTTCAGCAACCCATGCTTGTCGGAAGAGGCGACTAACAAGATTGGTCGGTCAGGCTAGCTGATTTGTTTCATACATGTCATCCTCTCCCAATTGCATGGATCGATGCTCAATGGATGATGTCAATCCCTGATTGTCTGGTCCCGACTCGACTATTTACAGACCGCCTTCATATAGCAGAAATATTGCAGAGTGCGACGTTAGACAACAAACATGTTACAAACATACCTGATTCTTGACAGTACTTGAAACAGAGATTCCAGACTGTGACGAGACACAAGAGGCATCTGGCAATGAAATCCTGCAACATGCCGGGGTTGATGATGGGCTTTTTGGGAGGAGTGTTTTTACCGTCCATATTGAAGATCTTGAAAGTAATAAAAACAAAATGAAATTAAAGCTGCAAGCAGCAATGGCGGGCTCCAAGTTACACTGTGCACAAACGTCCATGTTCGAATCCTTAAAGGGTTTCCTTGTACCAAATCCGTCACATGTAGGCACAACTTGCAGGGTATTGCCGCTACGAAATTGGCGTGTGCTAAGTCTGTTTTAAACCCATTTCCGACATCAAACATATTCGAATCCTCAAAGGGTTTGTTTGTACCAACTCTGTCAAAAGATAGTCACCGTTTGAAGGACATTGGCGTGTTCCAGGGGTGTCCCAAATTCTAATCAAATATTACCACCAAGTGTTGTTACTTTTTCCATGCACCCAAGAACAGAAAATAAGATGCATATGATACCTAACTTCATGTAAACTTGCAATAGTTTCTGTCAACAAGCTAACAAGATATGATCTTTAAAGTAAAATTTCGGTATTTTTTTTAATCAAAATCAAAATCCAATACAACCGCAACTAAAACAGATATCCCAAAACGGCTATGAGAGTTTGCTGTGTTGTGTGTGGAGACAATTCTCAGAAAATTTGGAAGCATTTCATGCAGTGGACTCGGAGTTGTTTGCGTTTGAAGACAGGTACCCCAAAGACACTGTGAAAACCTTGAATCCAATATGGCTGCCAAACCATTTGACCAATGACCAAAGTCAAAGAACAAAATATGTCAAGCAGCTCAAGCAGCAGATACATGCAAGTTTTCAAAGTAATCTGATAAGCGGTTGCGGAGCAATAGGGCGAAATACATCTTTAAAAACGTCTTGATTTTTAGTTATCTGCCCTTGGCTTTTGGGCCTACGGCCTTGGGTTTTTGGCGGGCACTAGTACCCAACAGTCTTCATACACATACAAAATTTGAACAAAATCGAGCCAGTGGTTATTTTGCTAGCTCTGGTACAAAAATCGGCGGAATAATAATAATATTAAATCAAACGCTAACACTGGGGCTCTTCAGCCTTACGGCTTGGGGACTCTTTAACAGGCTGTAACTTCTTTGTCAGTTGGGCTCCAGTCAAACGGATTAGCGTTCTGCGTTCGTCCGGACCCCGGGTTCCTGTCGTGCTAAACTTGTTTCCGACATCGTTCATATTCGAATCCTCAAAGAGTTTACCTGTACCAACGCCGTCAAATGTAAGGAACCTCTTGTGAGACATCACCACTACTAAATTGACATGTGCTTGGGTGTCCCAGGATGTTTTAACCAATTTCCAACTTCGACCATGTTCGAATCCTCAAATGGTTTGCTTGTACCAACGCCATCATATGTAAGGAACCGCTTGCGAGACATCACCACACGTGTCCTAGTGTGTTCTTAACCCATGTTTGACTTCGACCATGTTTGAATCCGCATATGGTTTGCTTGTACCAACGCCATCAAATGTAATGAACCGCTGGTGAGACATCACCACACGTGTCCCAGTGTGTTCTTAACCCACATTTGACTTCGACCATGTTCGAATCCCCAAATGGTTTGGTTGTACCAACGCCGTTAAATGTAATAAACCGCTTGTGAGACATCATGACATGTGTCCCAGTGTATTCTTAACCCATGTTTGACTTCGACCATGTTCGAATCCCGAAATGGTTTGCTTGTACCAACGCCGTTAAATGTAATAAACCGCTTGTGAGACATCATGACATGTGTCCCAGTGTATTCTTAACCAATGTTTGACTTCGACCATGTTCGAATCCGCACATGGTTTGCTTGTACCAACTCCATCAAAAGATAGTCCACGTTTGCAGGCCATTGCCGCTACCAAATTGGCGTGTGCCACAGTTTCCCAGAGTGGACTAAATGCCGACCTCCATATTCTAATCCGCAAATGGTTTGCAAATGGTTTGCTTTTAACAACGCTGTCAAAAATAAGGTACCGTAGCAATTGGCAATTGAGAAATGAAGAATCAAGTCAGCGAGTCTGATCACCCAATCCGATTAGTCGCCAACTGTGACAAGCATAGTTGCCTCTTGAGACAAGCATCGTTTGAAAAAGGCCAATTCTAACTCTGGTCGTCAAGGGTAGTACACATAATATTGAACAAGGCTGTGGAGAACGCTAGGGTATCTGCAAAGCCAGTGAATGGGGGTTTATAGTAGATTTATGAGGCGCTTCCATCAGTATTATACTTGGGTGAAATTTTTTATCAAAATCAAAATCCAATATGACCGCAACTAAAAAAGATATAAAAAAACGGCTATGCTCATTTGTTGTGTTCTGTATGGAGAAAATTCTCAAAAAGTTTGAAATCATTTCATGCAGCGGATTCAGAGGAGATAGTATTTGAAGACAGGTGCCCATAAAACCCTGTCAAAACCTTGAATCCAATATGGCTGCCAAACAACGTGATCAATGGACAAAGTCAAAGAACAAAAAATATCAAGCAACTGAAGCAGTAGATACATGCAAGGTTTGAAAGTAAACGGGCATACGGTTGTAGAGCAACAGGGCAAAATATATCGTCAAAAAATACTTGTTTTTCAGTTATCTGCCCTTGGCCTTTAGGCCTACGGCCTTGGCTTTCTGGCGGGCACTAGTACCCAACGGTCTACAAACACCCATAAAATTTGAACAAAATCGAGCTGGTGGTTATTTTGCTAGGGCAGGTACAAAAATCGGCGGAATAATAAATAATAATAATAATAATAAATAATAATAATAATAAATCGAACGATTACAATAGGGCTCTACAGCCTTTCGGCTTGGAGCCCTAATTATGCTGTGGATTTCATGAGGAAATCTTTGTTGACATGATCATGTTGTTGGCTCAGTTGTCCTTTGTGCTGTGCAGAGTTGTGCCCCTTTGGCTTGACAGATCATGTGGTTCTGGGATGGAGACCCAGATTTCCCTGATTATGATCTTTGGTTTTTCAGCAGCATACCCTTTACTTGCTCGTTGCTTTCACCGATGTGGTAATCAGAGTTTGTTTCTGTATCCTAAATATCACATTTAAAGAAATTGAGCAAGTAGGCATCGCATTAGTGTGTCATACTCACCCTGAAACAAATATATCCAACACAGTTCATGCATCTCTATAATATTTTGCAAGTCTAGATTACTGCAGTAGGAAAATTAAGAAATTCACCTTTTTAGTTTAACTTATCAAATGTTTTTTTCTGTAAACTATGTTCATTTCAGAGACTAGATGGTAATCTAGCATGATGCTCATGATTTTGATCACTGGATTGTCTGGTCCAGACTCGAATATTTACAAATCGCAATCATATAGCTGGAATATTGCTGAGTGGGGCGTTAAATAACAAACAAACAAAACAAAAGCATATTTATCTGATCAGGACATCAAGTTTATCAGATTGGTTGATCAGATAGATAAAACTATCCATGATCATCATGATAAGATGAACGTCAAAGATGGCTTCTGTTCGTCCACTTAGCTTGGACTTCATGGAAAAACTGAATTACTGTTCAAAGCAACAGAGCTACAGAGAAGCTCCCTATTTGCATAAAATCCCCCCCAAAATATTCAAAACCCAATTACTTTCAATAATCTTGCGTACAGAAACGCATGCATCAAATGAAAAACTCAACTGTATAAAAACAGCTTGCGTAAATACCTAATGAAGCTTTTTCAGCATTCGTACAACGGAGCTAATTTCCGAAACACAATTATGAGCTAATTTACTTTCTGAGTCAAGCCTATAGTAGAAGCTTTATATACTTAAAAAACATTAAAATATTTGTTTGTAAAATTTCAAAGTATTTACTCATTTTGGGAAAAATCGAGTGATTAATAGATGAGTAAAAAAGTGTTGGTTAGCCAATGAAAAATGTAATAACCCAATTAAAATAGAAACATTCGAGTAAAAACTCAATTGCTCAAATAGTTTTCTGGAGCTGTGTTCAGCCCACTCACTCTGCTACTCAGCTGCTGAGATTGAGTGTCAATGAGTTGACTGTTAGACTGGTGGGCATGTTGACCTCGCTCTCTCATTTTGTAATTGTAAACTGGTATATCAATAAAATCTCTTAACTATATCAACAACGAGTATGGAGAGGAAGTTACTTGTTATCAGCCTCCTTGGTATTCTCACATTCATCTGTAAACATTAACAAGTGGTATTTCTTTTCAGGACCAAACGTAAATTTAGGATGAATGATCTCTGTTATTTGTAGAGAAATCTGCATTGAAAGCACGCTCTGGAGTAGACGTTGACATATATATATGCAGTCTGTTAGTGACATGGCACCAGTTAAAGTGTTTGAACTTACTTTTAACTTGAGTTATAGATGTTTTTATGATCTTTGTTTGAAGACTCTCTTTGCTTGTGTGTCGTTGGGAAAACCTGCAGGGGAATCCCCTATGTACTGTTTTCCTTATCACTGTGTTCATACATCTCATTGTGGTAATATTATATTTGTGACATATTATAAGATCAGTTGTTTGTCTCATTTATCATGTTTATGGCATTGTTTTCTCCTTCTCCATTTCTTTAAAGCATTTTTATTCAAATAAAGACTATTCATTATATTCAGCAAGTGTGTGCATTATCACAATATGAATAAACTTGTGGTAAATAGTGTGTGTGTCTGTGCTGTATGTCTGTGTCTGTGTGTGCTGTGTGGTGTGCTGTGTGTCTGTGTGTGCTGTGTGGTGTGCTGTGTGTCTGTGTTTGCTGTGTGTCTGTGTGTGGTGTGCTGTGTGTCTGTGTTTGCTGTGTGTGCTGTGTGGTGTGCTGTGTGTCTGTGTGCTGTGTGTCTGTGTGTGCTGTGTGGTGTGCTGTGTGTCTGTTTGCTGTTTGTCTGTGTGTGGTGTGCTGTGTGTCTGTGTGTGCTGTGTGGTGTGCTGTGTGTCTGTGTTTGCTGTGTGTGCTGTGTGGTGTGCTGTGTGTCTGTGTTTGCTGTGTGTCTGTGGTGTGCTGTGTGGTGTGCTGTGTGTCTGTGTGCTGTGTAGTGTGCTGTGTGTCTGTGTGGTGTGCTGTGTGTCTGTGTGCCTGTTTGCTGTGTGTCTGTGTGTGCTGTGGTGTGCTGTGTGTCTGTGTTTGCTGTGTGTCTGTGTGGTGTGCTGTGTGTCTGTGTGCTGTGTGTCTGTGTGGTGTGCTGTGTGTCTGTGTGGTGTGCTGTGTGTCTGTGTGGTGTGCTGTGTGTCTGTGTGCTGTGTGGTGTGCTGTGTGTCTGTGTGTGCTGTGTAACATAATGAGGAGGGAGGTGGCAGGGGTAGTTGTTGGTGGATGGGGGACAGAATTGGGGAGGGGGGTTAAGTTCCTGGTAGGTGGGGCAGGGTGTTGGTGAGTCAGGTATGGAACTGACCATTTTATATTCTTTTGGGATGAGCCAAACTATGTGGAAAAACACATTGTAGCAATGTAATTTCTGTGGCAGACAATTTCTTTCTTTTTTCAAAAATATAAAGCATATATATAATTATTTTTTTCAAGATTTTTTTATGCCAATTTATTTTTTGGAAAAAAAAGTCCCAGTCCCCTCTCCTGAATATTGAATGGTTGGCCCCTGAAGTGTTGGTTGTTGGGCGGGAACTAGGTTCATTTGCACTAAGTACATGTTGACATCAAAACTTTGTTGCACCAGACTAAACCAGGTTGAACACGTATTAACTTTACTGGCAGTAGTATTTCTTACACTTGTGGCAAATGTAATTCTGGAAATATTATCTAGGTGACCAAAATTACCGGTTGTACTGGTAGCCAAATCTGACATGCTTCCTGAAACAGAACCACTGCTGCTGTCACAGATGGTTTATTCTCAGTAACTGAATGGCTGGGGATGGTGAAACATCTCTTTGATGACTTTTGTTTCTTCATATTGGTTGTCATGATTAATTTTATTCATAGAATCCAGTTTCCCAGATCGCCCAAAACTCCCTAGAGGGGCACGGGTGGCTCAATCGTCTAAGGCAGAGTTGCATCACATGGGCACGCCAGAAACCTTTGATTGTGGGTTTGAATCCCGGTTCGCCCTGATTATGTTTCTAGGTTTGTCAGCACCATACCCATGCTAGTGGGTTTCACAGAAGTGGTAAACGTTTGAGACCTGCATCACTTCGGGCTTTCCTCCCACATTAAGCTGACATGCCGTGATATAACTGGTATACTGTTAAAAGCGGCGTTTAACCCCACCCACCCACACACTCACTCACACTCACTCACTCACTCACTCACTCACTCACTCACTCACTCACTCACTCACTCACTCACTCACTCACTCACTCACTCACTCACTCAGCTTCATTATCAAAACCTTATCCGAACTACCACCGTTTGTACTTCACAACACTATTAATAGTTTAAGATCTCCCTCTAATTTCCATCATAAAGAAAATGGTGGCTAACTATTGGCAGTATCCTGGTTGTTGTTCTTTACGCTTTACACAAACTCTACTGACAGTAATATTAGATTTACAAAGAATGAAGTCCACAAGATAGTACATCCATGATAACAACAATAGGTTTTGATGACTTGTTTTAGGTCATATCGGTATGTCCAGTCTGCAGTATACTGATTTCAGTTTGTGAATGTCACATGTAGTTTCGCTTCTGTTACAAATACAGAATAAGGAAACTGTGTATGCAGATTCCGTCCCCCTTAGTAACTTGCTCCTGACAACTTGTTAAACAACTCCCACATACGAGGAAACAGGTGAATCCTGGTTCATTGGTCTTCACAAACCTTTTTCATGCAGACTGTTGCAGAGAGTGTTACAGGGGCAGGTAGCTTGTTCCTCCTTACCTCGGATATTACGTGGGTTTATTTTTAGCTCGGACAACATGGCGTGAAGTTGAGATAGTCAGTTTGTTGTAAAAAAGTTTGAGCATCCTATTTCAATGTCGCCACTTATTTTTCTGAGAAAAATGTATGTAACAATGCAATGCTATGCATGACTGTTAAAATTAGCAACAGTGTCTTGTTCCGCTTGTGTCATTGACCTTTGGTTGCTCCACCTAGTGGTCGGAGATGACACTTGAATATCTTGCCAAGATTATGGCATGCAATTTGAAACCCTTCATGATGTGCATATTTGGGTTGATTTAGCTGTTATTATCCCCCGCCCAATGAAGTTGGCGGGGGATATAGAAACGGGCTCCATCCGTCCGTCCGTCACGTTTCGTTTCCGGAGCATAACTCAGAAACCGTTAAATATTTTTTCATGAAACTTTGAACTGGTGCCTTTTGCTATTTAGAAATCTTATAAATTTATATTTTTTACGTTTCCATGGCAACAAGATGGACTTTGGTTCTGTGAGGGTAGGGTTCGTTTCCGTAGCATAACTCATAAACCATTAAATATTTTTTCATGAAACTTTGCAGGTCTGTCAGGTACATGCTGAACTGGTGCCTTTTACTATTTAAAAATTTTGGAAATATTTTTTATATTATTTTTCCTAGAAGTTGAACTTTTAGAAATTTATGAATTCTTCTTTTAAATGCCAAAAACTCAATCAGCTTGTTATCACTGGCGACTTCAATATGGACCAGTCTGTCTGTGACAACAATGCACTATCCAACCTCATGGAGCAGTTTACATTCGCCCAGTATATCAGCAAACCAACCCACACTCTTGGGGGTACACTAGACCTGATCTTCTGTAATGAGCCCATCTCAACAGGAGTCTTTCCAGTTCCAAACACTGACCATCATCTTGTGTGGGGTGTGACGGAATAGGTGTAGTATATTAAAGTGACTATCATTATTTCTTTGTATGTTAATCAATGTGGTAATGAACTGAACTTTTTTAATCTTAATATTTTGCATTTAATCTACTATGTCCAAAGCAACATCTTATGTTTGATGGGTGGTCGGGTAGCCTTGTGGTTAAAGTGTTCGCTCGTCACGCCGAAGACCCGGGTTCGATTCCCGACATGGGTACAATGTGTGAAGCCCATTTCTGGTGTCCCCTGCCGTGATATTGCTGGAATATTGTTAAAAGCGGCGTAAAACCATACTCACTCACTCACTCTTGGGTTTGAACTGGTAATGACCATAGTCACATATCACAAACTATTTATGTTTCTTAACAAATATTCCATGTAGATATTATTACGAGTCAAACTGTGACTGATAATGTTTTTTCTTTCTCCCACCCTAATGAATTCAGTAGTAAATGTAGTAACTGGGTTTGTCAGTTTGTACTTCCATCATGTTTTTGTGGAGAAGGTTTCATTTGTTTCTTGAACTTCATAGAAATTGTGTTTTGCAGCATTATATTCTGTTTCTTCAGGATATTTTGCATTTACGTCAAGTAGATGCTCCCCTTCTGCCTTTTACTCCTTACAAAATTTTGAATATTTTCAAATGTATGTGTTTGTGTGATCAAATTTCACTGTTGTTGACATAATATACACTTCATTTGCTGGGCAGGAGACTTGGCCAAGTCAGTGGCAAACTCTTCTTTTTTTTACAATTTCTATGACAAGTTCCACTTCGGTTGAAAAAGGTTAGGGTTTGTTTAGATTTAATTTTGTCATAAATTCTGCAACAGGGGCTGGGGATATCCCCATCTTTGTAATACCAATATGAGTGCTATGTAACTACAATAATCTTGAATGCAACGTTAAATCAAGTCTGCAGGGTTAGAAACTAACAGTTTTTGTCCACTAGTCATTATAATGATAACATGTGGCAAAACCCTTAAAATGGGCCAATTTCTAGTAGTCCTTAGGATACCTTTACTATTGGGCAGTTTGGTAAGGACTACAGGACTAGTGCCAATTTCTAACGCTGAGACTGCAGGAAACACGGACTCCTGACAACAGTGTAGAGAACTAACATTACAATGTTTCGGGATGTTTACCAGGTGGAACAAGAGACAACTTGAACAATGTGTACAAATTTATTTACATGGAACTGAAGCATTAGATTGTCTCATTATAATCAGATCTTAGTTCTCGCTACCGCTAATAAAAGATCTGAGGACATCCCATTACGGGTCTCGTCAGAATGACTTTTTGTCTGACCAATCAGAGTGTCCCTTACCAGATCCGGAAAGCGACAGTTGAAATGTGTTTAGATCATGCAACCTCAAAAAGGTTAACACTGGGTGTTCTGTATGACAGCTAAGGGCTTTACAACTGATTGTTTTCAAAATCACCGACTGACGGTCGTTGTGTGGGATAAACATTTGAATGAAAGCATAGACCGTGGGAAATACTGCCATACAAGCCTTGCTACCTGTTTGACATTCCAAAATATTCTTTTGTATGGTTTTCAAATTTTAAATAGAGATCTGTGTCAAAGTTTATATCAAGCATAGTCTAGAAGGGGATTCGACAGTTTGAAACTAGTTCTATATTGCTCAAGAAAGCTGCTTTCTGATTGGCTAATGTTGACTTTTTGTTAGTCATTTCATTGGTTGGTCAAAGTTCACTGAAGGTCGTTCTGACATGACCTGTAATGGGATGTCCTCAGATCTTGTAGTGAGAACTAATATCTGATTTTAATGAGATTGTATATACAATTCGAAACATCAACATCAGAAAACAGTCAATCAGGAGATAAACATACAGTGTTTTCAAAGTACTGCTAGGTTGCCTGTAGATTTAACCGCGCTAAAATGAATTTGGAACAGAACGCTTAGCTTGAGGTTTCAAATGTTGAATTTAGCGCAGTTAAATCTACAGGTAACCTGGCTCTACTTTGAAAACACTATGTTTTTCTCCCTTCTACCCTGACTAAATATAACATGAACTCTTTGGTGTTTGCAAATATATTGAGTGAAGCGGCCTGGGTTGAGTCCAGTGTTTTGAGTGGGCTGTTGATCTGAAGTAGGGAATCACTGACAACAGTCTTCAAACAAAATATGGTGCTCTATATTCTCAATCTGTTGTTTACAACATAATACTTCACTCGAACATATGACAGGCATTGAAATCACATAAGCATGGCAACTTGGTAGCTTACCAAGGTGCCATGCTTATATGCTTTCAATACCTGTCATATGTTCGAGTGAAGTATTACAGTGTCAACAAACTGATTGAGCATATACAGCGCTATTTTGATTCCGACCATGTTAAATTAATATTTGAAATCTCATGCTGCATGCTCTATGCCAAATTCAGTTTAGTGCGGTTAAATCTAATTGATAGCACAGTATGTTTATCTCCTAATTAATGTAGTAAATTTGGGACCTTGATTGTGGTCCTGTGATGACCGTCCAGTTTTGAGAGATACCTCTGTATATATATATTTATGAAATTTTACTGAATCCAAGATGGCCGCCAAAATGACTTAATCTTCAAAAAATGTCAAATGTTAAAAAAATATTTGTCCACAATATCAGTATCATTTGCTCATTACAATCATTTAAATCAAATATGGCTTCAAAACAATTCCAAGTAATGCTTTACTGAATGTATAAGCTTTTGGTACTAAAATTGTGGTCCTGTGATGACCGTCCAGTTTTGAGAGATACCTCTGTATATATATATTTATGAAATTTTACTGATTATTCATCAGAAGTTTTGTTGTTGATATCTCACACAAGTGAAATAACAGTGTGTTTGTGTGTGTGTTAGTTGATTAACGTCACACTCAGCAATATTCCAGCTATATGACAGCCACCTGTACTAATGAAGTCTGGACCAGACAATCCAGTGATTGACATCACGAGCATCAATCCACACTGATGGGGTACGATGACATTCAATCAACCAAGTCAGCGAGCCTGACCACCTGATCTGTTGGGCCGCCTCTTATGACACGCATGGATTGCTGGGGACAAGTTCTACCCTGGAACAAATGAAGTTTTTTCATTAAGACATAGAAGATATATAATTAGCTGTAGAAGTATTGCCAAATATTAATACATGTGAAAAGTACTGCAGAACATATTGTGACACCTTATTTTTCAATACATCAGTACTTTGATGTATTGTGACAACTTAAAGACTTCAAGTGCGATAGGGTACCCTGTGGTTAAAGCGTTCACTCGTCACGCCAAAGACACAGGTTCGATTCCCCACATGAGTACAATGTGTGAAGCCCATTTCTGGTGTCTCCCCCCAGCCACTGGGATATTGCTGGAGTCAGGTTGTTATCTAAAATATAGTCATAAAATATTGTTTGTATCTCTACCATGTCTGAATCGAATGAATATAAGGAGGAAGGATTGCGATAGCCAATGTTCACATCAATAAATGAAATAAGATTTCTAAGACAGGGTAAGCAGCCTCTATAAGTTGATTTTTGAGAGTCTGTTTGGAAGTCCAAGCATTTATGGCCAGATTGTTTGAGCACCATGTTGTTCACTCACCCAAGGTATTCAATAAGTTTGAGACACCTGGTGTCTCCAGTTCCACAAGCTGTGACTGACTCAACTATATCCTCCTGGTTCACAGTGTCACGGTTCACAGATCCTCACGGCAGCTATGACCAATGTCAGAGGAGATGAGGATGAACGTGTCTTGAAGAGGACACCGAATTGTCCTCTAGAGTTCCTCATTCTGTTTCACCTTCTCCTCGATGTCCCCCTCATCTTCATCTTCCTTGCCTCCTTCTTCCTCACCTCCATGTGACACTTCTTCAATGGAGGCAGGAATCACAAATGTTCTTAGTTTGGATTCTTGTATCAAGTCCTTTCCATCCTAGAATTATTGAAAGTTGGTATGTAAGTTTAAATTGCTTCAACCTAGTGGAACATAAAGTGCTGGCTAGGACGTGGTCAAGTAGGCCTTTGCTATTAATGTCATCATCAGATTACCCTGATGCCTGTAAAGGACTATGTACATCAACCACAGGTAGCAGATGCTGCACTGTTTGAAATGAAGGGTGTTCCTGGGGCCCTTGAGGTTTTAATCTCGGGACCTTCTATATCTTTCCCTGTTAGCATCTGGGCTCTGACTAGGACACTAGGACTTTCATACTTAATTAACACAACATTGACAAGTGATTTACTATGACTAGAAGTTTCTGATATGAAATACAGAAATAAATGAACTACTTACCCTTAAATAAACTTCAAATTGATAGTTCCTTGTAGTGTCTCTGTTGGACCCTGAGACTGATCTGTTGTCTAAAATGTCCTGTCTTTCTGGGTCCCATGACAGTCCTTCATTGTATCGTTGCCTGTGTGTACGGTCTTGAGGTTCTTCATTAATATATCTTTGTGTACCTCTGACTTCTGATATCTCAAGATCATTATAAATTATTTTAGTTGTTTTTAGTTCTTCCTTATGGTGTTGTTTGAAGTCTTTGCTCTTCGATGATGCATCATCACCTGTTCCTGGTCCTGGTCCAGAGGCATCAGTGTGCCCTGAAAGATCTGCAGCATTATAGAATGGATTGTCAGGCGTTGGCACGTCAGCAGGGTAACTTTGGGCCCTACGTGAATCTTGTGCATGGTCTATGGCAGGTACCCCTGAGAAGAGTTCTTTGAAATTTACTGGTTCAGACATATTTGTTCTTGGTAGGTCAGATTCAACTTCAGTTGATGGTTGTACAGGAGGATCAAGTTGAGTAGACTGAGAGGAGCCATGCTGTTGACTGACTTTGTCTGTCAGATTAGTGAAGAGATCTTCCCAGAAGTATGGCATGGGTGCACTTACTGAGGGTATTTGTGGTATATCTGTGATTTCTTCATGACCAGAATCCAAAGACCTTTCTAAAGGATCATGTTCTTGTAGTTTTGTGGGTATTTGGTAACTGTCATCCAAAGACCTTTCTGAAGCATCATGTTCTTGTAGTTTTGTGGGTATTTGGTAACTGTCATCCAAAGACCTTTCTGAAGCATCATGTTCTTGTAGTTTTGTGGGTATTTGGTAACTGTCATCCAAAGACCTTTCTGAAGCATCATGTTCTTGTAGTTTTGTGGGTATTTGGTAACTGTCATGGCCATGTGGATGTGTGAATTCTTGATCACTGTGCTGAGGATGTGTGTCATCTCCAGTTTGTTCAGATTCTGACATTTCTTCAGCTGTTGATCTCTCGTAGTAGTAGTCTTGTAGTTTTGCAGGTAAACTGTACCTTTGGTAAACTGTGTCTTGTTCTTGGGGCGGACCAGGCACATCTGCGGTTTGTTCCCTACCAAGTGTTGCATCAGAACCATCTAACTGCAGTAGCTCTTTACCAAAGGAAAGATCAGGCCTACCTTGTGTTTGTGGCAAAGGCGAGGTGTTTTGACCTTGGTTGTGTGATTGAATTGATTCTTGCTCTAACGATTGGCTGTGTGGTTGTTGAGCAGGTGCAGACTCATATGGATGTTTTAGTTCTCTGATTCTGCCTTTGTTGGAGTCAACACTAGGATCAAGCTTGCTGTCTGGTCCTTCTGTAGTAATAACATTTGATGGATCAGTTTCTCGCGATAGTTTTTCAGAAACATATTTAGTCTTACTCTTATCAGCTACATCTTTGGCCTTTCCAGATAAATCATTCATGCTTGGAATGTCATTCTCAGCATCAAACCAGGACTTGCCCTGAGATCCTGTTTTGATGTCTGGATTTAATAGATGCACATCATTTTCTTTCTCATCAAAGTAACTTCTGTGGGTTGCAGAGTCTCGGTCAGAAACTTGCTTCATATCCAGAATGTAGCCTTCATCATTTTGGGAGCGAGATGGCACCGGTGTTTCCGCAACACCAGGCCTGCTGTCTTCAGCAACATCTGGTCTTCCTTCTTCTGTACCCAGCCCTCTTCTGTGTGACCCCTGGACAGTGTTTCTACCAAACTCAGAACCAATTGCTTCAGTCAGCAATTGCATGCGTTGTCTGAGATCAAATGCTTCTATTGTGTCAGCCAGCGTGAGGTTTTTCAAGATTGTTGACAAGTATCTGAGGCTTGAGGATGGTAGTGCTGCTTCTATTGTGTCACTCAGCGCAAGGTTTTTCAGCATTGTTGACAAGTATCTGTGGCTTAAGGATGGTAGTGTTTTCTGCAGATTCTGAAGAAGATCCTCAGTTTGTTCAAGTGCATGCTTATCATTGCATCTTGTATTTCTGCTTTCATAAGCCTGTCTATGTAAGCTACACATTTCCACTATTCTGTCTGTCATGTTTAAGACAGTGTATGTGGTGATACCACTATCAGTTGCTGAATGACCAGATGTGATTGTAGATGGGTCTGGTTGTGGTAAAACAGGGGAGAGAGACTCTGTTGTACAGGCAATATCTTCAGAATCACTTTCTCCTTCTGATAATAGGTCCTGTATGGCTGCCTTAGGAATTGTTTCCTTTGGATCAGTACACACAGGAATTAAACATTGACAATTCTCATTGTCGTGTTGCACTGGTATAACTGATTTTGGACGGGTATTGTCAGGATCCTGCAAACAATTTTCATTCTGTTTTAATATTTCTCTGTCTTCCCCTTTGAACGTATTGATGTAAGAGCATCTGTTGGCTTCTAGACCATATGACACAGGTTGGTCAATAAGGTAATTGTATATAAATGAACCAGTGGTCTTTTCTGTTGTTAGGCCATCAACCCATGTCTGGTCCTGTTTGGCTGAAGTTCTGTGGGGCTCAATTGTTTCCTTTTCAGATGTATTTACTTCACTCATTGATTCTGAGTCACAGTCACCAGTGACTACTTTTGGATGTGTTTCATCTGGATTGTTAAGGTAAACATGTTGTCTTTGTAAACTGTCTTCAAGTCCACTGTCAAAATCTTTGACTGATATGATTGTCTTAGAATAAGTGTGGTCTTGTTCTGCAACTTTAGGGTCTTTTTTTAATGTCAAATGTTGGCTGGTGGCAATATTGTGATTCAATTCATCAGCTTGAATTACCACTTTTGGGACAGTATTGTCTGGATCCTGCTGCAAATTATATCTGTTTTGTCTTGATTCTCCATCTCTGCTATCTTCAATTCCACTATCTGAATTATTGTCATGTACAACTCCCTTTGGGTGAGTTCTGTCTGGATCCCTGCTTCTGCTGGTGAATCCTGTTAGAGATGTTTCTGCAAGAGTCTTGGGGTCTGTCCTTTCTGGATCTGCAGGTTTCCTTTGATTTTCATTTCTGTGTCCATCCTCTTCCTCACATGGCTTAAATGTGTTCTGGTCACACTGGCTGCTCTCTGTTGATGAATCCAGACCAGGGACATTTGTCAAGCCTGCATCACAAGAATCCTTTCTTAAAGTCAAATGTCGGCTGATGGCAATATTATGATTTAATTCATCAACTTGGATAACCAATTTTGGGACAGTAATGTCTGGATCCAGCTGCAAATTATATCTGTTTTGTCTTGATTCTCCATCTCTGCTATCTTCAATTCCACTATCTGAATTATTGTCAAGTACAACTCCCTTTGGGTGAGTTCTGTCTGGATCCCTGCTTCTGCTGGTGAATCCTGTTAGAGATGTTTCTGCAAGAGTCTTGGGGTCTGTCCTTTCTGGATCTGCAGGTTTCCTTTGATTTTCATTTCCGTGTCCATCCCCTTCCTCACCTGGCTTAAATGGGTTCTGGTCACACTGGCTGCTTTCTGTTGATGAACCTCGCCCAGGGACATTTGTCAAGCCTGCATCACAAGAATTCTTTCTTAAAGTCAAATGTCGGCTGATGGCAATATTATGATTTAATTCATCAACTTGGATAACCAATTTTGGGACAGTAATGTCTGGATCCAGCTGCAAATTATATCTGTTTTGTCTTGATTCTCCATCTCTGCTATCTTCAATTCCACTATCTGAATTATTGTCAAGTACAACTCCCTTTGGGTGAGTTCTGTCTGGATCCCTGCTTCTGCTGGTGAATCCTGTTAGAGATGTTTCTGCAAGAGTCTTGGGGTCTGTCCTTTCTGGATCTGCAGGTTTCCTTTGATTTTCATTTCCGTGTCCATCCCCTTCCTCACCTGGCTTAAATGGGTTCCCACAGTCTGGAGAGGATACAAGACTTGGCCAACTGATTTCACCTCTCACTTCAACTGTATCTGGGTTCCCACAGTCTGGAGTTTCAGAACATATCTGGTCATCAATCAATGAACTAACAGAGGACACATAACTTGGCCAGCTGATTTCACTTCTCACTTCAACTGTATCTGGGTTCCCACAGTCTGGAGTTTCAGAACGTATCTGGTCATCAATCAATGAACTAACAGAGGACACAGAACTTTGCCAGCTGATTTCATCTCTCACTTCAACTGTATCTGGGTTCCCACAGTCTGGAGTTTCAGAACATATCTGGTCATCAATCAATGAACTAACAGAGGACACAGAACTTGGCCAACTGATTTCATCTCTCACTTCAACTGTATCTGGGTTCCCACAGTCTGGAGTTTCAGAACATATCTGGTCATCAATCAATGAACTAACAGAGGACACAGAACTTGGCCAACTGATTTCATCTCTCACTTCAACTGTATCTGGGTTCCCACAGTCTGGAGTTTCAGAACATGTCTGGTCATCAATCAATGAACTAACAGAGGATACAGAACTTGGCCAGCTGATTTCATGCTCCTCGTCACCTGCATCTGTGGTCTCATGGTCTAGAATGTCAAAAGATGTCTGGTCATCCATTATACCCTGAGTAATTGCCGAAGAGAATGTAACTGTGCTACATCATGCACATGGGCTACAGAATCAGCACACACCATCTTAGTGACTGCAATGGGAGGAGAGCAAGTCTGTGGCAAGACCGGAAAGTCAGAGCTGGTCTGCTTTTTGTGTGTATGCTTGGATGTTTTGTACTCCTGGTGGGGATTCTGGTTGAGAATTGGTCCCCAGCAACCTAGGCTGGTTGGAACATTGGTCACATGGTCATATACTCAGGCTTAGTGACTTGGTTGATTTAATGTTGTTCAACCCTGATGATGCTCATAATATCAGTCATTGATTTAAAAGGGCTGTCATAGAATAACAAACAACAAACAAAGAAAGTACTCCCTGCCTAGGCAGACTGTAGCCAATGGGATAAAATGAGTCTGTGGCTTCTCAGTGTTTTGAGATAAAAATAATGTCTGTCTCACTTTTCCTTGTAAGCAGAACAGATGGACACAGCTTCTGTTTAGGGTGGGAATGTTTGGGTGGTCAAACTCCCTATCCAGGAAGATCATCCAGGAGCTGCGAGTCACATCGTGCAGTTCTCCTTGACACAACCGACAACACTACCCCTTCCATCCAACCCTCCAATGAGATATTAACCTAATCACCTGGATAATCAATGAAGCCCATTTCCATGGTAAACCCATGACGAAATAGAGTAAAGATTGGTTCCATTTTGTTGGCATTAAGGTCAGATTTCATATTTCAGTGGTTAATGGGTTTTTTAATGGCAAGATGAGATGAGAAGCCTGGTGATAATGGTGCCAGATGTTGGCTTCTTTCACTGTCTTCATACACAACACAGAGATGACCAATGAAGGCGGGTCGCTGTCCAAGAACCCTGTAAAACAATATAAGTTGTAGCAGGATCACGAGGGGTACATGGGGTTTTATGCATCCTGCGTTAGGTTATCTTACCCACATGTTTTATTGTGACGTTGTAAAAGAATTAACACAAATTCAAAATTGATAGAAAAATTGATAATTTGTTCTATGTGACGTGACTTCCTTTGACCCTGGAAAAACATGCAGTATTGAAGCAGGGTATAAGGGATTTATTCTGCCTCTCAGATATCAACATGCAGCCTTTTGTATTGAAGCAGGGTATAAGGGATTTATTCTGCCTCTCAGATATCAACATGCAGCCTGACTTCCTCTTGGTGGGGGAAAAGAGATTTAGTCTCCCACTGAAAAATTTATTACCCTCCAAAGCAGGTTACACAGTGTTTTATCAAGATCACATGGACCAATAAGATCTCATCATTCTGACGGAGGCACGGGTGGCCCAGTCGTCTAAGGCATTGCAATTCACTGTGCAGAATTGTGTCCCTTGGGCACGCCAGAAACCTATGATTGTGGGTTCGAATCCTGGTTCGCCCCGATTATGTTTCTAGGTTTGTCAGCACCATACCTGTACTTGTTGGTTTCACCGAAGTGGTAAACATCTCAGACCTGCATCACTTTGGGCTTTCCTCCCACATTAAGCTGACACACCACGATATAACTGTAATACTGTTAAAAGCGGAGTTAAACCCAACTCACTCAGTTATCATTCTGACATGGAGACATGATAATAACATTAATAACTGAGCATTTCAGGCCAAACAGAATTTAGCTCAAAGGACACTTCAGCTTGGAAAAAGCTTGTAAAGTCCTTTGCTTTGTTTTGGAATGACATAACCTTATCATTGGATGAGGTGCTGAAGGAAATTGGCAGGAATCAATATCAGTATTGGTTACTCACAACCAAATGTTTTCCCATAGACTTCTATAGTAACGTTATGATTTCTTTTTAAATAACTAAGCATTCAACAGCTATTACCTGTATGTGTGTGCACAGTTTGGCCTTAGAGCAGCAATAAAAAAATAAAAAAATGACTAGCTTAGTCAGCTCCTTTTCCGAGTACCGGAAGCTAAACACACCATCCCCAGTTTCGCACCAAATGTCACCTACTTGAAAATAGCTGTGGTCACATTCAGCATAAGTCATCATGTTGAAAAAGACAGTACTAAATAAAGAAAAACATGGTCAGTTTTAATAACTGGATGGATGTACATTTGAAAGACATAAAAATCTTACAGAATACCCTCCAATCACAGCCTGCAGATATCTCTCGATCTACACTGAAGGCTCCCTACGAAAACCGCACTGTCCAAACTGGTTCTGATTTGGTGTAGTAGAACCTGTAGACAAATCAGAATATATTTGCACTTGTCAAATCTGTGATTTATGTATTGTATATATATATATGTAGCTTCTCAGAAAAAAATGGAAATTGGATTAAACTTCCCTACTTGTTCCTATCCAGCATGTCTATATGGCACCAGAATACATAGTTTTGATGCACAGAAAGAGTTGTGAGAGTTTAAGGATGTACACTTCATCAATGTTTTACAAAAGGTATTTCTGTATTAATAAAGAAGTTTCTACCTTCATGCACTGACCATGGGAGTTAATTCATATTTCATAAAAGAAGGGGGTCAAGGGTCAATTCTATAAATGATTGAGGCTGCATAGATCATATCACCCTAAAATATTTTTTCGACTAAAAAAATTGAACAAATCTTTAAACCTCAAAACCAGTTACAATCCATATTTAAAATTGAGTAGTGGTCTGTTGTTTGCCTTACTTTGCTGACATCATCAGAACATATCAGAGTCTGCTTCATTCATGGAATATGGTTTTGACACTCATGACATGATGCGATTGATATTGTTTGAGATTGCTCGAACTTACACCATCCATTGTTTATATAATTAAACACTCAAATGGAAGGAAATTACACTTAACTCTATTGATTTGTTTAGTTAAGACTTAAAATACTCACAGGACATCAAACATCCTTACTGTTTAATGTTTCAAGGTGGCTAAACTTGCTTATTTCAGTTATTTGCCAGTTTCAATGAAACAAAGTTACAATTCCATATAATTTTGAAAATGTACAGCTTATCCTGACATAAATGTAATTCTTTTTATTCACAATATACAGTGTCATGCAATGCCAGCTTAAAATAGTGTTTCTTTCCAATAATTTATGGGTTTATAGGGGAATGAAAGATACAATGCATTTTACTAAACAGGGGAGATAATTCAGTATTGTCAAACACTATCACATTCTTTACAGATGATTTCAGAACCATAATGCTACATTCCAAAAGAGCCAGTGGATATTATTTGCATCTAAGCAGGTTCTGGGACTGGTGTATAGCCCTTATTTCATGTTTGCAAACTGAAAAACTGCACAGTGGCATTAAGGGAGCACTGTTAGAAATGTCTCGTGCATGAGGGTGATCTTATTATGGCACTTGATAGTGAGCAACAGAGGAACCTCAAGTGGACTGGGGTTCTTAAATGTACTTAATGTACCTACATGTCCAAGTTCCACAACTTCTACAAGGTAATAGAGCACAGCGAGGCAAAACAAGGGTTGTCGATCACACACTGCCAACACCGGACTTCGGATCAGCTTCTCCAAATGCCAAATTCGATGTCGAAACTCCTACTTCTTCTGCATGAGTGCACATATACCTCCCCAGTCAACATCAGGCATGCGAAAAGCTGAAAAAAGTGTTCAGACAATATCAAATGGCAAAGCAGTTTGGATATAACAGCCAGGAGTCAGTTCTTGAGGGGACAAAATAATTATTTGAAAGTCATATGAGTGAAAAATAAGTCTGTTTTAAGAAACTTAATAGAAAAATAGCATCATTCATTCACACAAGAGCACCTAACAGAAAGATATATTGGTATGCTACATTGTTTACTGTAAATAAGAGGATGTGTGACATATTCTGCTGTCAGCAGTGTACATGCTTCATACTCAAGATAACGGCATCGCGTAACTTGACTGGCCAGCGATTGACATAAGGCAGAAATTGTTGTGGCAGTGGTGACTTTATCCTAATTTGTTGTCAAATTCATCAGTTTCAACAAATTCAGAAGGCAGGAGGAGGGCTTATTGGACAGAGGTACCCTGGGGGGTTCGTGCTGAGTTTGACCACAATACGAAGCAACATTCATTTCCAGGTCATCCAAATGCTCCATTCAACCCAAAATGTCCCCAACTTCACTGTCATTATTTTTAAATTTGCCTCCATGGTGTATCCATGGTGAAATATAAACAGAAAAGCATGTAAAGTATGAATTACTGAAATGTGCACCCTACAGGTTACACACAACCAAATGTTTTCCCATAGACTTCTATAGTAACGTTATGATTTCTTTTTAAATAACTAAGCATTCAACAGCTATTACCTGTATGTGTGTGCACAGTTTGGCCTTAGAGCAGCAATAAAAAAAATAAAAATGACTAGCTTAGTCAGCTCCTTTTCCGAGTACCGGAAGCTAAACACACCACCCCCAGTTTCACACCAAATGTCACCTACTTGAAAATAGCTGTGGTCACATTCAGCATAAGTCATCATGTTGAAAAAGACAGTACTAAATAAAGAAAAACATGGTCAGTTTTAATAACTGGATGGATGTACATTTGAAAGACATAAAAATCTTACAGAATACCCTCCAATCACAGCCTGCAGATATCTCTCGATCTACACTGAAGGCTCCCTACGAAAACCGCACTGTCCAAACTGGTTCTGATTTGGTGTAGTAGAACCTATTGGGTAACTGCAAATATAGACATGCCTTGAATTCAGGAAACATTTTAAGAATTGAAGTCTGTTAAAAAGAAGCTTCAGAAACTTCGTACCTACCTACCAATCGGATGTACATAATGTGTTTTTATCAACAACAAAAAATTGTCCCTGAAATTTTTTACAAATATGTGTGATATTGTCCGGGAAAAGAAGATATCATCTGCTACAACATTTCTTTGTTGGAATGTTTTTTTAAGGAAACATATTTTGACTCATACTTTTATTTAACCTATATCCTGCTGTATTGCTTTCACACTTCTTACCCCTGCCTGCTGGATTAACTTTAGCATAAGGCGCTGTAAAAAGGGTGTGTTTGTGTGCTTTCAAACAGTCGAGGCTTCATTAAACATGGGATGAATGAACCAATATTTCTCACATTTATTCCTGATAAAAAATATGCATTAATATATAAAACTATCCTGGCATTTTTAAACATACGGAGGTTAAGATCAAAACAAACATAAAATTTGTAAATTTTCTTGAATTTACATGAATTACGTGATTGAATGTGGAATGCGTTTCATATTAGGAACTATTACGAGTCCAAATTTACTACCCGCTTACCCACTCCCCTATTACCCGACCCGACCTGACCCGACCTGGTACCCACTGTAGGTCTCAAAAGAGTGTTACTAAATGTCGGATTGGGATATTTTTTACCATAGCCCTGGCAAAGCGTATTTAGATACGTGTATTAAACAATCTGGTCATGCATACGCTGGAGTTGACTCAAGTTATATCTTTATTCAACCATCTGGAAAGTCCGAAGGAATGGGTGCATAGAAAGAAATGCGAACATTAGTGACTTGTGGTGTAACCATGGAGTTCCAGATCAGTTTTGTCATTAAACAATATATCACGTGACTAACCATGGGTCGAGGGTAGTCCTGTGGGTACCCGGGTCCTTCTCAGTACCCACCCGACCCGGGTACCCGAGTTACCCTTCCCAGCCCTATTAGTAACCTGTATAAATCGTTAATTTGCACTATATTCAATAATTATTTCCATTATTTCAATAATCATATATCCGATATCATAAATGTAACTGAGCTTAAATATACTGAACGCCAAACAATGGTGCGATGGAAAATTATGAACCATTTCAGTAAATTTATTATCCAAACGTCAAACAGAATAAAAACATATTTTTCATGTCAGTTGCAGAAGTGAGAATATTAGGGTTAATCTAATGTGTCATGTGATAAAATATGCAGGATACTATAAACAACCTATAAATATTCACTTATCCAAATTACAGGTATTTTGCTTGAATATTTTTGATGTACAAAATATAAATATATTGTTTGTTTGTTTGTTTGTCGTTTAATGCCACACTCAGAAATATTCCAGCTATAATGCGGCGGTCTGTAAATGATAAAGTCTTGACCAGACAATCTAGTGATTGACATCATGAGCATTGATCTATGCAATTGGGATACGATGACGTGCATCAACCAAGTCAGGGAGCCTGACCACCCAATTCCGTTAGTGGCCTCTTACGACAAGCATGGGTTGCTGAAGACCTATTCTAACCTCGATCTTCACTGGTTTAGTGATAGCTAAGCCCCATGGCCAAATTCCTGGCTTGGCAAACTGAACTGTTCCTATTTCTAGCCATATACAATACGACACTGATATTAAGATCACATTTGAAAATAGCATGGTATTGTGACAGTGGAGCCATGTTTGGAGACATTTCTTAGAAGTACACAACAAGGCTAGAAGAAAAGTGTAGTCTGTGAAAGAGAGCCTCCAGAACCTACCAACGGGCTGCTCAGAGAGCCTCCAGAACCTACCAACGGGCTGCTCAGAGAGCCTCCAGAACCTACCAACGGGCTGCTCAGAGAGCCTCCAGAACCTACCAATGGGCTGATCAGTGACCTTCCTGTCTGTTTTATGTGGACCTATTGATAGAAGTGGATTTCCCGAAAAAAATATTTTTACTCTGCTCTATTTCTTCCAACTTCAGATTCCTGGGGAATGTTAGATAACGATTAACTGACCTACTTTTGTGACAGTACTCACTTGCTTGGCTTGATGTCATTTATGGCTGTTAAGATGACTGAATAACAGTTAGCTAATCGTCGTAGTATTCTTAGAATTATACACAATGATAACTATTGTTTTATAATTCATTTGAATACCCTTCCTCTGTTAGATCATAGCCAGTATACACCAGAGGGACCGTGGGATCTGATATCTTGCATCCCTCAGATAGTTGGCTTTAGGACGTAGGAATACATACCCACGGTTTATTCCCCATGAGTCGTTTGAATTGTCTTCAGCAACGCAAGCTTGCCGTAACAGGCGAAAATGCTTGTCTTAGCAGGTGACTAACGGGATCGGAGGGTCAGGCTCGCTGACTTGGTTGATGCACTCAATTATTTACAGATTGCCGTCATATAGCTGGAACATTGCTGATAAGTGCAGTTGACACTCCACAGAGGCCAGCCAAGTGCATGCGTAGACATTAAATGGCGTGAATTTATTGCAGTTTTTGACACTTTTTTTTATTTGCTATTCAGTTGGTAAAAGGAAACTAGACACTGTTTTCATCAATGTCTGTATACCATGACAGACCCCAGTGTGGCTAGTGACAAGACTATAAGATTAGTTCTATAAGGAAACAGAAACTTCATCTTACCAGTCAATGCGATTTTACCAAAGCTGCTGTAAGAAGTTGTAATCAGAGCACGGCTGTGTCATTCCTTCACTCATGGCCACCTTATTGTTCCACATCATGTCTATTTTTGACCATCAGGTCCTGATGACCTGTGTATGTATGTGTAGGATAACACATCCGACAGGTCTTATGAGAATTTCAAACCTCATCCAAGGGTTATATATCTAAACAAATTGAGGGTAAGTGTATAGATAATTCTATGTTTCAAAATACTGTCCATGAACCTCAGGAACCAAGTGTAAAATATGTCTTGCTGGTGTAGTACTTGAACAAATGATCCTTGAAAGCATTGTGCTGCAGATATGAAGGTGCAAGTTTGATCCACTGGCATAGAAAGAAGACATTTGTGGCATTTTGTTTTTTTATTTAAACATATTTATTCAGAAGAAGTGAACAGGATTGGGGGACAAATTCTTACAACTTATATATACTACTCAAAAGAAATTAAAGAACACCTGATTCTTTCACATTACCATAGTTAATTTGTCATGGCATAACAGAATAACTACAGTAATATGAAAGAATCAGGTGTTCTTTAATTTTTTTGAGTAGTATATATTCATATATATATATCTCTTTCTCCATATATATTCATACAACACTAGAGAGAGAGAGAGAGAGAAAGAGAGAGAGTTACATTGTTGAATGAACAGTACTTTACACAAATCTTTTAGTTGTACATAATGTTGTCATAAGTATAGCTTCATTTTCTGTAACAACGTGTTGAAGCTACATTTAAGGCATTTGTAGCATCATTCTGAACATTTCTGTATGTGTGCTAATTTATTCCACAGCCATGTCAGACCTTGGTTAGAACAGGTCTTCAGCAACCCATGCTTGTCATCAGAGGTGACTATTTGGACCAGGTGGTCAGGCTTGCTGGTTAGTGCATGTCATCGCATCCCAACTGCATAGATTGATGCTCATGATATCAATCACTTGATGTGTCTGGTCCACACTCAATTATTTACCTGCCACCGTCATATAGCTGGAATATTGACACACACACACATACACACACATACACACGCACACACTCGCACACGTACACATACGTTGGATGTGCATGTCATCGCACCCCAATTGTGTAGATTGATGCTCATGATATCAATCACTTGATGTGTCTGGTCCACACTCAATTATTTACCTGCCACCGTCATATAGCTGGAATATTGACACACACACACACACACATACACACACATACACACACACACACTCGCAAACGTACACATACGTTGGATGTGCATGTCATCGCACCCCAATTGTGTAGATTGATGCTCATGATATCAATCACTTGATGTGTCTGGTCCACACTCTATTATTCACCTACCACCGTCATATAGCTGGAATATTGACGCACACACACACACACACACACACGCACGCACGCACACGCACACATGTACACGTACACATACGTTGGACTACCGTTGGACTACCGTTGGACTACCAATGTGTGCATAATACACGCATACAATGAGCTCTGATATTATTTCACAATGCGAAGAGATTATTGTGAGCTCACAACACTGGAAGAAGCATGTCAACAACTCCGTACTGAAGTACGAAAGTTAGTCCTGTGATTACACATCTGGCTATAAGGGTGTTCATTGTGTATCTGAACTGAACATTTGTAATCCATTATATTACTTTTTTCCAAGATTTCTTTCAGTTTTATTCACATAAGTTTGGCAAAATTGTGTATGAACTAATCGGCAAATCACATCAACTCACCGTGAACTCACCTTGAAACGAACATTAGTCGTTACTTGTTTGAGATGCAGAAGTCATCCATCTTCCTATCACTTGTATCAATATCTTGTCAGTTTCGATATTGGCCATGATATAAAGGGTTTTTTAAATCGAGTCACCAATAGATCGGGGAGAAAATGTGTGAACATTTGATTGCTATTTCCAGCTTATTTTATGAGACAAATACACACGTAATATTAATCTCTACATATGAAACATTGTCCGTCATACAGTACACAAATACCATTTAATCTGTTAATCATGTCTTGTGATGCTTTATCATGGTTTTATTGACTGTATGTGCAAACAGCAAAACAAGCACCCAAACTCCTTTATTGCCGCCGCAGTCGTAACATGAGATGCGCAGCAGTAGTGTACATGTAAAGGGAAGTAACTTTTATATTGCATCGTGTTACTTTCAGTAGAGCAGCATGTCACTGCAGGGGTTGCGTGTTCGAGAGGCGGAATATTTAAGGATCTTTTTTTGATAAATGGAAATAAAAATGAAACATGCGGCAGACTTTGTGATGCGGAGAACCAAGACTATTTTTTTCAGCCTAAGTTTTGACAGTGTATGTTGTAAACCATCCTGTAACAATCACCAGCTGTGTTGTTCATCACTGTGTTGTTAATCGCTGTGTTGTTAATCGCTGTGTTGTTAATCGCTGTGTTGTTCATCATTGTGTTGTTCATCGTTGTGTTGTTCATCGCTGTGTTGTTCATTGTTCTGTTGTTCATCGCTCTGTGTGTCAATGTGTGCAAGTGCCACAGTTAGGTGCCACAGTTAGCTGTGCAGAGTTGTGTCCCTTAGGCATGTGAGAAACCATGGGTTCGAATCCCTGTTCGTCCTGATTATGGTTCTTGGTTTTATGAGTGCCATTACCATGCTGTAGAACATCAGCCTTTCTTCACACATTAAGCTGACAAATGCTGAGACAGCGAACACCAGGATCTAGGGCTGGGACGAGTAACTACCCGGACCCATGGTTATAGTCACATGATATTGTTTTTGTTAATTGCCTGGAAATCTATGGTTACACTACAAGTCACTTATGTTCGCATTTCTCTCTTTCTGACTATGCACCCATTTCTTCTGACTTTTCATATGGTTGAATAAAGATATAACTTAAGTCAACTTCAGTGTATGCATGATCAGATTATTAAATACACGTATCTAAATACATTTTGCCAGGGCTATGGTTAAAAAATTCCCAATCATTTTGTACCCCTCTCTTGAGGCCTACAGTGGATATACCCGGGTAGGGTTGGGTCATAGGGGGATGGGTACCTGGGTACTAAATTTGGACTCGTCCCAGCCCTACCAGGATCCTCTGTAATTTCATACTCTGCAATGTTGTATACTTTCCACTGTCATTTAGAAAGGAGGCCTGAGTGGTGGGATTGCCTAGTGGTTAGACCATTCGCTTGTCATGCTGAAGACCCGGGTTCAGTTTCCCCATGTGGGTACAATGTGTAAAGCCCATTTCTGATGTCCCCTGCCGTGATATTGCTAATTGTGGTGTAAACCCGTACTCAGTCAATGGAAGGTTGCCATGGTGACTGAAGTGTGGAAGGTGCTGTGATTCCATTTGCAGAGTTAGGTCCCTTAGGTGTTCCAGGATCCACTGATTGCAGGCTCAGATCCCCATTTTACCCTGCTGTCTACATTATTGTCCACAGACTGTCAGCACCAGGCCGCTCATCACTTTATGCTAGTTTTACACATAAAACCGACACGCCATGATGTGACTGAAGTTCCACTCACCCACTGATTTGGAATGGAGTACATTTGTGTTATACTTAATGCCATGTTTGAAAGATAGTCAAATGTGTCAGGCGGTATCAATTTCAGGAACATTAAAAGGTGAGGTCAAAAGGTGTTTATCGTCGCCTTCAAGATTTTTGCACTTATACAGCAACGTGTGTACATGTGTGCAGAGTTGCATCCCTTAGCTTTTACAGGATATGAGATTATTGATTTGCTCCTGTGTGGACCCTTGGTCAACAGTACCCATGCCCGTAAACAAAGTGGATATAAAGTTGCTTGTGTCAATTGGACAAAGGATTGCGTATGACATCGAGGATACAGTGATGTATCATGCGTAGAGGGGCGGTTGGGTAGCCAAGTGGTTAAAGCGTTCGTTCATCATGCCGATGACCCGGGTTTGATTCCCAACATGGGTACAATGTGTGAAGCCTATTTCTAGTGTCCCCCGCCGTGATATTGCTGGAATATTGCTAAAAGCGGCATAAAACCATACTCACTCACTCACTCACTCACTCACTCACTCACTCACTCACTATCATGCGTAGTGTATTGATTCTACAATGGAGCACCTACTGAAGACAGACATTCCCAGAGTAAACAGCCACAGGACCAATGAAGATCCGGGGTAGAATAGGTCTTCAGCAACCCATGCTTGCCGTGAAAGGTTACTATGCTTGTTGTAAGAGGTGACCAACGGGATCGGGTGGTCAGGCTGGCTGACTTGGTTGATGTATGCCAATTGCGTAGATCGATGCACATGATATCAATCACTGGATTGTCAGGTTCAGACTTGATTATTTCCAGACTGCCGTCATATAGCTGGAATATTACTGAGTGCGGCGTTAAACAGCAAACAAACAAACAAGACATCCACAGACACATGCAGTGAACGAACGTGAACTCAGACAGCAAACACTAAAACAAAGCCAGGCAAAATTTATTAATTTAAAAAGGCTTAAAATAATACAGCCAGAAAAATGAGTTGACATGCATTCTAAAGGGCAAGTAAACTGAAAAACATGATTGAGATTTTGTTGCGAATGTCAATTTTCCTTGATCACTGTTGTTACATTTCGTCAATTTCAATGAAAAAAATTCATAATATTTGTGGAAAGTATTAAAATGTCTAAGTGAAAGGGCTATAAAGTCACTAATCGGCTTCCAAAACATTTGGGGGTGTGGCCTAAAGCTACCGGAATTCCCCCATTGATGGATATAAAAAATATTTTATATGGGGAACAATTTTGTCTTTCATTTTTTTTTGTCTGTTTTTCAAGCATTTGGTCAAGCATTTGTGATTAAGTATGCACTAAAGTATTAAAATCTACAAAGATCCCATGTTGAGTTTACTCAGAGCTACAGATAAGCGTATATGCGTAAAATAACCCACCACCACCACCAAACACACACACACAGAAACTCATTCATTAAATGAAAAACTCAAATGTATAAAAACAGCTTACGTAAATACCTAATGAAGCTTTTCCAGCATGCGTACAATGAGCTAATTTCCGAAATATTTGGAACAGTTACATACATCGAAAACATTTCATTTCTTTTTAAATCTTAAAATGTTCACTAATATTGGGGAAAAACCAAATAGAGTGATGAATAGATGAGTGAAAAAATATTGGTTACCCAATAAAAAATGTAATGACCCAATTAAAATAAAAACCCTAGAGTAAAAACTCAATTGCTCAAAAAGTTATCTGGAGCTCTGCAATACTTTCATTTACCGGCCTATTTTCTATTGACAAATAGTAAAGATACTGAGAAGACTAGCAGCTTTTACTGAGTGTACTGACTTCCTTGGTGTGACTTCATACCACCTGGTGCAAAGGAACTGTTTTTGGTAACACTGCCAAAAAGAATACGTCAAAATAAAAGGAATAAAAAAAATTTCCAGGGTTGATTAGAGATTACCGCCTAAAAACATAATCATGAAAAAGTTCAGACCAAAATTCCAACAAGAAAAAATTGAAAATACAAGGTAAGACTTTTTTTTTTATCTTCTTTTGTAACCAAAATTCTGTTAATCCAGAAAAAAATGTTGGTGGAGCATAATCTAAGAATTACAACAAATCTAAGAATTACAACAAATCTAAGAATTGCCAAAAAAATCTAAGAATTACAACAAATCTAAGAATTGCAACAAATCTAAGAATTACAAAAAATCTAAGAAATGCAACAAATCTAAGAATTGCCAAAAAAATCTAAGAATTACAAAAAATCTAAGAATTGCAACAAATCTAAGAAATGCAACAAATCTAAGTTTTCTACATTGCTAGATAATCCATAAACAACTAATGACAAATACATTTGATTAACATTCCAGGAATGTAAACATGGATTGTATGGTCATTATTCTAAGAGACCTCTTTTCTTTGTCTTGTCCACATAACACCAGTTATACTTTAGGCAGTACAAGTTTGTCTTGCATGAAAATTTCTTGGTAAATATGACAAAAGTCAGATGTGGAAATTGAAAGGTTTAAAAAGTGATGCAGGGCTGATTTGATCATCATGTTCCTGAAGCAGGCCTGGAAGTGAAGCTGATGGAAAGACAAATACATTGACAGCTCAAAACATTCAGACAGAAACAGCATTCTAGTTCTACAAGGAAATCTACTGTCCTGGCAACAAGTCACAAAGGCACAGAAAACATTCTTCACCCAAAAAGGATACAGAAGATGGGTTAGTGATTAACAAAGAAAGTAATTTTTTTACATAAAAAGGATCTGCTTGGGCTTAAACAAATAAAAGAATTGGTTCTCAGGCTTTTAGAAAAATAGTGCGGGCGGGCGGGTGGGCGGCATGTTTTTTTTGTTTTTTTTCAGTACAAACTAGTATGTAAGCAAATAGACAGTTGTGTACAATCAACCTGGGATAGGGACTACTGTTGAACTACCAGTGTGTGCATCATACACGCATACAATGAGTTTTGATTTTATTTCAATGGGAAGAGATTATTGTGAGCACACAACACCGGAAGTATCATGTGAACAAATCTGTACTGAAGTACGAAAGTTAGTCCTGTTATTACACTATCTTGCTGTAAGGGTGTTCATTGTGTATCTGGACTTACTTTGTCATCCATTATATAACTTTTATCCAAGATTTCATTCAATATTGTTTACATTAATTTTAGCCTAATCGTGTATATGAACTGATTGACATCAACTCACCGTGAACTCACCTTGAAAACAAACAAACTCCTATTGCCACAATGACCTTAACACGTGATGCACAGTAAGGCAGTGTGCACGTTAAGGGAAGTAACTGCACGCTATATTGGACAGCTTTGTTTTTAAGTATTGTAGTAAGTATTGGGGTCATGTGTTCGCACTGCAGAATATTTAAGGATGATTATTTTTAAGGTGGAAATAAAAACAAAACATGCGGCCGACTTTATGCTGATGTGGGCGGGCCTGAGAACCAAGACTACCGTATTCGACGTAATAAGCGCCCCCCTCTAATAAGCGTCCACGGCGATATTTGCTAATATATTGGCTAGTGAACGTTCCCAGTTAGCACCCCTTCCGATTGATCAATGTACACAAAACTTTTTTATTTGCATATAATACACACTGGAGTGTTATATGCACCCTTTACGTACGGGCAGTTAAATTCTGCAAAAATATATCTGCAGCATATAAGCATTTCAGGCTGTCAGAATAAACCACGAAATTTATCTTTTCAGTCTGTTTTTTTCACCCAAATAATATTCTAATAAGAGCCCCCTATTTCTAATTTTGAAAGCGATCTGGGCACTTATTACGTTGAATACGGTATTTTTCTTTTTAGTCTTTGCCAAGGCATGTCTATAAACTATGGAAAGAAATGTAGACTGTAGTCGTATGCATCATGAAACACTTTGGAAGGTAAATCTATAAAATTGACGTGGTAGGTTCAGTTTAAGAATTCCTCCATCCTAAACATTTTTTATGCAGGTTTCAAACAGGAAAGTGCTTGAAGTTTAAGAGGGTACTTGAAACATTCTTGAAGAGTTCTTCCTTGAAAAATCAATTTGAATCTGCTTCAAATGCACAAAGATCTGACAGACGGAGCACACCCAGTATTTCTAACTGGACTACAAGGCATGCACAGAGGAAGATGAACATACAGATGGTGGTCGTGCATTTGGTAAACATCCATCGCTGGTTTGGTGACAGCATGTTATCACATTTGAAAATTATTGGAAAAATTCACAATATGAAAAGCTAATACATATATCTACATGCAGTGAAACCTCCTTAGTCAAGACCTGTGAAAGCAGAAACCCTGCTCTCTGAACTGCGGGGAATACTTACGTATGGACAAAGGGACATTACTCTTTACATTTGATTTGTTATCTGTTAATTCCACACTGATTGCTGCCATCCAGATTAACGAGGCTTCACTTTAAAGCATTCAAATAAATGTCACTATAAGGCAAGTTTCTAAAATACAAAGCTATAGAATATAATATTGCTATACTGTACAGTGTCATTAAGATGTAGGATGAGTGAGGGAGCGTTGATGTCTTGGCTTGTCATGATTGCCTCCCTTCGTACTTTCTGACACTTCTCAGGTGACATTCTGAAATGAGACAATATAAGTTGTAGCAGTTTCCCCCGGGGAACATGTGGTTTTATGCATCCCGCGTTAGTTTTTTTTATATTTATGTTACCAATATGTTTTATAATGACATTGTAAAATATTTAAAAGACATTAAAAATTGACAGAAAACAGCTGTTCGATTGGGCTGTTAACTTGTGCTATGTCACGTTACTTTCATTGACTTGGAAAAAACGTGCAGCATTTTGCTTCGAAGTGGGGTATATGGGATATATTCTGCCTCTCAGAAATCCATGTGCAGCCTGTCTTGCTCATGGCGGGGTATAAGTGTTTTATCCTCCTGCTGAGAAATTGATTTCCGTCCCAAGACGGGATACATAGCATTTTATCTAGATTACGTAGACCAATCAGATCTCATCATTCTGACATGGAGGTATAATAATAAACAATTAGTAAATAGAGAAGTTTAGTGTCTTTTGATGTCAAATTTATAAACATAACTGGGTGGCGTTGAGATTTGCTACTTGGTCAGTGTCGAGGGGAGTCATGATATCAATAACTTTGTTGCAGTGTTATACATGAAAACTTGAGGTTGTACATGGATGGTAGAGTTTTATTTTACGATAAATTTTCTTATGTTTTATTAAATATGTAAAGACCTACAATATGAAGATGAATTTTTAAAAAACTCGAAAAAACACACCCCAAAACCCTGAACTGAGTCACATTCAGTACACACCAAATTTCTTTCCTTGGATTAGCACATTGTTATTTTATGTTTTTCATGTTTCAATTATTTCTGGTGTCCCCTGCGGTGATATTCCTTGAATATTGCCAAAAATGGCATAAAATTGTTACCATTGAGTGGTCTCCCTTGTTTCACTCACTGTCAGAGGAACTTTCTGTTGGCCATTTCTCAGTATGGTCACGTTGAATGGTGACGGGCTGATTTCCATTCTGTATTAAGCAAGGTACAGTTATTATTCATTTGAATTGCTGACACTATGACTTTCAATCAAAATCAGAAAATGTAGCAATATAAGTGACACATTTATGGTAATAACGTTGATATTCAGGGTTTGATCTGGTTCACAGCAACCTATGCTAATCACGATGGTCGGTCTCCTTTGGTGACTGTGTGTCATTTTACCCTAAAAGCAGGGATCAGTGCTCATATCAATCACTGGAGTGTCTGGGGCGGTCGGGTAGCCTGGTGGTTTAATCGTTCGCTCGTCAAGCCGAAGACCCGGGTTCGATTCCCGACATGGGTACAATGTGTGAAGCCCATTTCTGGTGTCCCCCGCCGTGATATTGCTGGAATATTGCTAAAAGCGGCGTAAAACCATACTCACTCACTCACTCACTAGAGTGTCTAGACTAGACTTGATTCTTCACAGGCTGCAATAGCAGGGGTAGATTTAGCAACAAATTTGTATGTAGCCAGCAGGGCTTGCTCCTGTTAAAAGTTACTGGCCCTTCTCCAAACTTACCGGCCTACAACTAAATGGTGGAGCCCGCGGAGTAGGCAAACCTGAGGTAGTGTAGCCACCTAGTGGGGCTCTTAAAATGTCAGAACTCCTCAACCCTGAAACGCCTTTTCCTTCACTCTGAGAATAAATGTTGGCTTCCATTTGCCTCATTTTGTGGTGATTTATGAGCAAATGAAGATGTTGTCCAATATGCACTTCATCAAGTTGCAAGCGCATGTTCGAATCTCCTTGTCATGATAGGACAATGTGTTAGCTTGAAATAAACCACACTTCATTCTTTATTGTTCTTTGCAATTTATCTGGTAGCTTTCTTATATAATGAAATATGTTTACCTGACGAGATCCAGCAGACAGGGTAATGGATATATTGGACATAGAACTCTGGAAGTAAGTCTGCTGAGTCAGGTTCACAAGTTCTTCAGTCAGCGGTGTCGTGCCCTGAAAGAACATCTTATGCTGAAATGTCATGCAGGCCTACCAATGAAAACTAACAGACTGCAACAACAAAAACTGTCCTGTGTCTACAATACACAAGGAATCGGCAACAGAATGCAATGAGAACAAAACCCAAAACTAAGAAACAGCATCATAAATCTGAGAGCATGCTGCCCGAAAAGCATGGAAACAGCAACACCAAAACACACAGTCCGAGGATCAACAAACAGCAAGTAATTTACATTACAGTGCTAATATAGAATATTCTAGATGTTGCTTCCATGTCTTCGGCAGCATGCTCTCAGTGCTTTTCTCAGCGCAAATAAGCAGTGCTATTTGCTGTTTGATTGGATATAGGTTAGGTTGGATGGGTAAGGATAATTGGTCGTATTGATATTGAGTCACATTTTTGGCTGTGCCGAGTTGCGTCCCTTGGGCACGCCAGAAACCTATGATTGTGGGTTTGAATCCTGGTTCGCCCCGATTTTGTTTCCAGGTTTGTCAGCACCATACTCATGCTCATAGGTTTTACCTCAGTGGTAAACGTCTGAGACCTGCATCACTTCAGGCTTTCCTCCCACATTAAGCTGACATGCCGCGATAAAACTGGAATAGTGTTAAAAGCGGCGTTAAACCCAACTCTACTCACTCGTATTAATTTGGAGATGCATCAATTTCACAATTTACAGTGTGTCCTAGTTTGTTGAAGATTTGGTTGGAATATGAAGAGATCACAAGCTACCTGTGACATCAGGACAGCCTCGATCTACTTCTTCGCATGCATGTGTTGGTCGGTCAGTCCTACACAAGAATCTTTACAAAATAAACTTTACACCTAACCATATTCATTGCCTTGTATGTTGGTTGTTGTGATACAGGTAAAGCTAATTACCAAATACTAATCAATTCCCATCACCCCTGGAATGTAATGGACTATCTCACCCATGCATATTCATGGGGGTCAGCAGTCAGGGCAAGGCATTTCCTTTCAGTGTTAAGGGCTGTTGGGTAGCCTGGTGGTTAAAGCGTTCGCTCATCACGACGAAGACCTGTGTGACCACGCTTCAATGTGTGAAGCCGATTTCTGGTGTCCCCCGCCGTGATATTGCTGGAATATTGTTAAAAGCGGCATAAAACCACACCCACTCACCCCTTTCAGTGTTCATCAGTAGCTTATGCAAATTATCTTTTGAGAACAATAGAGATATATGACAGACCTTGTCCTTCACAGATGGCCTTCCATCTGAGGGTTTGTCTTCTTTCTCGACGTCAGCATCCGTACCCTTTTGTTTCTTCTGAGCCTCTAGTTTGGTTGGATGCAACTCCACTGGAGCCTGACAAGAAAGATGAGGTCAGGTGAAATGGGGTTTACATGGTTTTCAAGATTATCACACTTATATAGGGACATGCAGTCATGCATGCATGGCTCCTTGTATTTGTTCAGATTTACGATGGTGTTATGGTGTCAGCCCACTGAGGCACCATGCCACAGTTTAACATGGACACACAGTATGCTGCTTCCATGCCAACCAGTCCTTGTTTTATGCCCTTAATTACGAAGTACAATCTTTTAGTTTTAACATGTTTTGGTGTGAGACAAGAAAGGATGAGGGAGAAACATCAATGGTCCTTGAAGATCTGGTCTAGCTAATATTTGAAGGACTGCTTTGCCTCATTTGATTCACGACATGTACATTGTGCTGTTGATGTTAGTTGTACCATTGTGATCCCCGTGAAGATGCGGGTTAGAATTGATCTTTAACAACGCATGCTTGCCGTAAGAGGCTACCAGCAGAATAGGGTGGCCAGGCTCACTGACTTGGTTGTTGCATGTCATCATATCCCAATTGTGTAGATCGATGTTCATGATGTCAATCACTGGATTGTCTGGCCCAAACTCGATTATTTACGGACAGACGTCATTAACTGAAATATGGCTGAGTGCAGTGTTAAACATTCAATGTTATGGAGCAAATATTTCTGCAGGATACAGTGTGCTTGCATATTAGGGTCACAATACTGTACGAAAGTTCTTTTGACATCATTTTGACAAACACTTAGAATTTCTCATTAACTTACAGATAGGCTTTTGAATAGAAACATATCAGGGTATGGCATTGTTTTAAAATCAGTTGATTGATGGAATCGTATTGTCAAAAGTTGTGTTCACTATTTACCTCCTGACTTGATGAAGGCTGGCCATTCAAACAAACATTGTCTTGATCAGAAGATCTGGCCTGTTGATTCTTGCGATCAGCTTGTGTTGTTGTAGATTTTGTTGGTTCCTCTTGAAGATTCACAGTCTGTTTGGTCATCTGTTTGTGTAGTTCCATACAACCATTGTTGTGATCAGAGCATCTGTCATGTTTAGCTTCAGGATCTGTTAGTGTTGGTCCAGGTCTCTGCACCTGGTTCTTGCACACATCTGTGTTTTCAGGAATTGAGCTCTCTGTAGTTTCATGATGTTGTCCGTCCACTAAGGGATACGTGGGCAACAGGACAGGGTCACTAGAAGTGGCCTGAGGATAATGTTCCCTTTGATGGGATTGCAATTTCTCGGGATCATCAGTGGGGGAGAATACTGCTACACATGTTTGAGATCTTTGCCCGGGATTTCCTTGATGTCGCGTAGACACACAAGATTTACCAGCTTTGCGCATATCTGCTTGTTGTGGCCCTGGCACCTGTTTGTTTTCTCTATTGCGGCTCACATCATATATAGATACGGGGTTAACTGCATCCTCATCTTCCCTGAGGTTAGTTGGACTGTTGCTTCTACTGAGCGACACCTCCCTTTCGTTCTGTGTCCTGTCAATGATGAGTGAGCTATCTTTGTCTTCCAAATGCTGACTGGTAAGATTTGAAGGCTTGTCTGTAGTCTTGAGGTTTTCCTTTGTGTCATCCAAAGTCTGATTCTGTGAATAGTCAGTTTTTGGAAGGACAGCATTTTCCTTAGGGGATTCATCAGGTGTAGCTGTGTCTACCTTGGATTCATCAGGTGTAGCTGTGTCTACCTTTGATTCATCAGCAATAGCCATGTCGACCTTGAGTTCATCAGCAGTAGCCTTGTCGACCTTGGATTCTTCAGCAATAACCGTGTTGACCTTGGATTCATCAGGTGTAGCCGTGTCTACCTTGGATTCATCAGGTGTAGCCGTGTCTACCTTGGATTCATCAGCAGTATCCTTGTCGACCTTGGATTCATCAGCAGTAGCCTTGACGACCTTGGATTCATCAGCAATAGCCTTGTTGACCTTGGATTCATCAGCAGTAGCCTTGTCGACCTTGGATTCATCAGCAGTAGCCTTGTCGACCTTGGATTCATCAGCAATAGCCTTGTCGACCTTGGATTCATCAGCAATAGCCGTGCCAACCTTGGATTCATCAGCAATTGCCGTGCCAACCTTGGATTCATCAGCAATTGCCGTGCCAACCTTGGATTCATCAGCAATAGCCGTGCCAACCTTGGATTCATCAGCAATAGCCGTGCCAACCTTTGATTCATCAGCAATAACCGTGTCGACTTTGGATTCATCAGCAATAGCCGTGCCAACCTTTGATTCATCAGCAATAACCGTGTCGACTTTGGATTCATCAGGTGTAGCCTTGTCGACCTTGGATTCATCAGCAGTAGCCTTGTCGACCTTGGATTCATCAGCATTAGCCTTGTCGACCTTGGATTCATCAGGTGTAGCCGTGTCTACCTTGGATTCATCAGCAGTAGCCGTGTCAACAACCAACCCATCAGTTTCAGCAGCCACAGATTTATTGGGTTCATCAACATTAACGTCATGCCTATTGCAACAGTTTACGCTGTGGCTCTCTGCTTCATTATCCACCTCCAAATCAGAACCACTTAGTGGATCATGGCCACTGTGTTCAGATTCAGCGTATGGCTGATCATTGGAGACTCCGCTGGCTGCCATGGAAGTCATAGAAGGTTCCAGGTCTGTGGTATTATTTCTAGGAATATTTGGCAGTTGTGGAGAACCACCTACAGACAATCTAGTTATGCTAGATTCGAATCTCTCAGTAGTGGCACATGCATTGTGGGCTGCCTCACCATGCAGTGAATGTACTAACCCTCTGTCCCATTGGCTTGAAGATTGATTGCAGTTTAGACGGGTTAAATTTTTTTTTAGCTCTTCGAAGAACTCTGGTCTTTCTTCATAGAGACGATCAATGTTGAAGTTTTCAGAGATGTAGTCATCACCTGCATATAAATAGAGGATTAGATCGTGATATTGTTAAAACCGGCGTAAAATTATACTCACTCACTCATACGCTTCCTTGATAATTATTTCAGTCTAATTAGCAGAATGTTCGGCAATCTCATTAAAATCAGATCTTAGTTCTTGCTACCACTAAATAAAGGTCTGAGGACATCCCATTAGGGGTCACGTCTGAATGACCTTTCATCTGACCAATCAGTGTGTCCTTTACCAGACTGGGAAAGAGACAGTTGGAATGTGTTTTCTAATCATGAACCTTGAACAGGTTAACATGGGGTAATCCGAACGACAGTTACAGGCTGTTATGACTATCTCTTGCTTCAATAGGATAAATATTTGAAACAGAAGAGACTTTCAACAGCCCATTGGAAGTACTGCCATACAATCTCTTTTAGACATTCCAAAATGTTCTTTTGTTCAGTTTTCAACATTTAGATGGATATTTTCAAAGTATATATAGTCTTGAATGGAAGTCACCAGTTTGAAACAAGTGGTGTATGGCTCGAGAAAGCTGCTTTCTGATTGGCTAATGTTGACTTCATGTCAGTCATTCCATTGGTCGGTCAAAGTTAGCAAAAAGTTTTTCTGATGTAACCTGTAATAGGATGTCCTCAGATCTTTGTTTAGCAGTAGCGAGAACTATGATTTGATTTTAATGAGATTGAGTGTGCAGAAGATAAAAAACAAATAAAATAAAGGAAGAATTTATATGTGTGAAAATGTCCAAAGGATTTCAGTGAACCAATCCCATTTTTCAACAAATCAGGTTGCAACACACATTCCCATTCAGTTTACATTTGCCTGTACATGTGAAGGGTTACCTGACTCCTGTCTGTGTACATGGAGGTGGTGGATGACGAGGACACAGAGAAGCAGGTGGGAGGAGAGACTGCAGTAGGTGTAGAGACCCCACAGCAGGTGCAGCAATGCAAGGCTGCTCACAATGTCTGTAAGATCCTTCCTTCTCATGTTGACTGAAAGGTAACACAAACAATCATTTCAACCAGGAGCTATCACAGCCAGGCTGTATTACTGTCATTTGTCTTGCCATGAAGGACCTGTACACCATACAGATTAAAATGAGGCCTTACATTTGTTTGCTTTATTTACGGATCCAACCTTAAAAGGCGAAAATTCATGAAAAAATAAAATCAGAATGCCAATTTTTTTTATATTGCCGACAGTAAAGATAGCTTTGACCTTAAAAATAATCCAAAGGATTTTTATCACTCAAGCAGATTTTTTTCCAACAATAAGTCGTCATTTTTTATCACCTTACCGATCCAAATGATTAAAAAACTCTTGTACAATACATGATTTCTCCCCCCTGATCTACCAATCAAATATTTCATCATCAAATTTCGTAAATTAAAACAAGAAGAGGTCAGGCCTAACCTGAGTTCGGGTCTGACAATTTCAATGTGTATGATGATTCAATACATAATGGACATTATACATCCTGATTGTATAAATACACCATACAGATTCACATGATTCATTTGATTGCTTACCTCTAGTACTGGTACATCTTGCCTTAAATTCCTTTCATCATGAGTAGTCAATGGCGACATATTTGTAACTACTAGAAATGGTTTAGGATACTAATATGTTGGCTTGAAGTACATCAATTACCACAAAAAGGCAACAAAACTGAAGAAAATAGGAAGGGAACTGACGTTAAAAATGCGATTACTAGAACATCTAGAACAAAATATCAGGCAATATACTTCCTTTTTCTATCTACCGCTATATTCTTATGTTGTATGTTGAGATAATAATACGAGCTTGTGTGTAATACTGATTTTACGAAGCAAGTGTCCGAGTTTTTGTATTTCCCAAGCAAGAGCAAGTGTAAAGCATGAATTCTTACACAAGTTTCGTAAAATCAGTATGACGCACATGCTAGTGGAATAATTTCTTCATTACCCATCATTTCTTAATTCTTTTGAGCTCTCCTTTAGAAAAATGCACTTATCACAACTGCCATCTTCGAAAACCACCATTGTCGAATGCATCAACAATCTTCAGCTATGATGTCGTGTCTTGTGTGACGTCATTCAAACCTTACATCACAATAAGATTTGAAGGACGTCAACAATGTCGTCCAGAGGACGGAGACAGTACACTGGTACTCGAGAAGTGGTATTTGCACCAGTGCACACATGATTTTTATGAACTTTGTAACTCTCTAACCTTATGTGTAATAAATAGATATATACTTCACTGCTGCCAACTATGTGGGCTACTTGTATGATGTCAGATCCCACCCGCCCCTCTGGTGACTACTGGCTATGATATAATAGAGGTATGGTATTCAAAGGAATTATCAAACAATGTTATCATTGTGTTTAATTCTAAGAATACTCTATTACAGCAATTTGTCTCTCCCACCACCCCATATATCTGCATCTTTAGTTTAGTTTGTTTGTTGTTTGACGCCGCATTCAGCAATATTGCAACTATATGACAGCATATATCTGCATCTTGTTGATGAAGATTATTGGTTGAAAGAAACTATGTTTTCCCACCCCGCGCATACCCAGATGCTTTTCTGCAGAGGATAGGGTTTTCCTCACAACTATTAGATATGCTGGCAGTGAAGGGGATGTCTGTTGAATTTTTAAAAAATCTATTGTGTGATTGTGTGATTTTAAACAGCAAAATTTTTACCACCTAACCCTAATCTCGTTTGCCAGGGATACAAAACGGTCACTACATCCGCCCATCACGGTTTATTTATTTATTTCTTTGTTTGTTTGTTGTTTAGCACCACACTCAGCAATATTTGAGCTATATGATGGCAGTCTGTTAATAAATCATCAAATCTGGACCAGATAATCCAGCAACATGCATCAACAAAGTCCCTTAGCCTGACCATCCAGTCCATTAAGATGCCTCTTTCGACAAGCATGAGTTGCTGGTTGCCACGGATCTCAATCACCACAGATCTCAACATTTGCGAAAATCGTAACAGTTTCAGAAATCTTTGTCAAAACCTTCTATGCATAATCAGGCAAGTAGTGAACTGGTGCCTTTAGTTATTCAGGCTGGCAAGATATACAGCTGGACTATTGCTGATTGTAGCGTAAAACAACATTCATTCACTGCTGGAGACCTGCGTTTGGGAACACTCTTTGTTTGGGATGCTCACTGACCTTGTCTGGCTGGGGGACTGGTGAATCTGACACAGATGTGTAGGACTGTGTGAAGTACAGATCCCTGAAATACATGAATACAATTGTATGGCACTGAAGCATCAGTCATTACAGGAAAATTATCTTCAAAATGAATCTCTGTATTCACCTTAAAGAGGAAGTGTAAGACACAGGGTATGTTTTATGAAGTTATGAGGGCTATTTTGAACATTTAGAACACCAACACACAAGCCTTATTTTGAACCATCTATGTATATCTATTGATTTGCACATGTGCTTTGAAATGTTAGTGAAAAAAAAAAAATATAAACATGTGAATATGATAACTAAAATTTGTCAATTCAGTAGAAAGATATGATAAAAGGTCAGAATTACTACATTTGGCAGGTCATCCCAACGTAAGTCTCGGGGTAGGTGCTGCATGCTCACAGTAGAAACAGTATTAGGACAGTTGATACTATATGTGTTCTTTTGATATGCTATTTGTTTGGACTTTCCTACAAAGGGTTAAAAGCCTTTCATTCTTTTGTAAAGATTTCATTTTAGAAAATTCACATAAAGTCGACAATGACAGCAATCTTTATTTAGTTTTCAGTCCTGCATTTTGGTCTATTGACCTAGAAATAAAATATATTGATCTGGTTTTACATATCATACAATCAAGAACAGTCACATGTTAGCCCTTGACATGAAGGAGCGGACGTGTTACTCGAGTCTTAGCTACAATTTCCCAAACTCTGGTATTATTTATTCATTCTGCTTTGATAATTCAGCCAGTGAGTGTATCTGCGTATGAAGTTCAACCTTGCATGGCCACCTGACATCAAGACTTTAGAAATAAATACTTATGAATATCAAGGAGGTAATCTAGACTTTGAAACATCGCGGCCTATGATCATAACATTCCCCTGCCAAGCGGTCTTGCCTTTCAGTGCAGCCTTCACATAGAGTCCAAAGATGGTGACTTGTCACTCTTGTATATAGTTTTCTTTTCGTTGAAGTGCTGGGTTTTGTGCTTATGAGTAAAATTTGTACTAGCAGCAGAGTATGTGTGACTCAATACAACTAAAAAATGGTTGCCTCACTCTCGATCTATTACTTCCGGTACTTCCGGTCATGTGACTAGACTGTTTACATTCCATTTTTTCATACTTACTCATGTTAAGTAATTGTTTTGTTTCAGCTTGTGTTTGAAGAAGTTTGTTTTCCTTTTTAGTTTTATTGTACTGAACTGTGCAGTCGATTGTCAGGGGGTTGTGATTTTGAAAACTTTGTGAAAAAGTGCTGTATGCATGATATGTATTGGTTTAAGATTTGAGGTCGGAATGAAAGGAATTTGATTTTACTGTTATAAACTCGAGATATGATGCAGAATTCTTTAAATATCTTTCTTGAATCATAATTTTGTTAAATATGTTACTTCATTAAATTCATTGTTAAATAGAGCCACTTTTTTTACCACAGCTGAAAACTATTGCTGCAATTTGACATTTAATGGTCATTAAAAAATCTTACGGTTGGCTTGACATTTTCAAATGAGTTTTAAACACTCATTTAACAACAATGAGTAAAGTATCGCTGGTTAAGTTGATGACACTCCTTTATGTCAAGGTGATGTTTTGTTAGGGTGATATTAATGTGATAATGTGGTTGGCTGCTGTCAGACGAAGTGCAGCGAGACGTGAGACGTTTACCAGCTGTAAACATTGTGCAGCCTTCTGGCGGCTGCATTCATGAGAGGAGGGCTTAAAGCGGAACGGGTTGGCTGCTCTTTTATTGTAGACCCCTTCAACAAACATGAATCCAGTGTGGAGCCAGCTTTTTTTAAAAGAGGAGTGCACAGCTTTTTGGAAAAAGGGCGTCCTTAAAAAAAGTGCACAATTAGCATTATTTACAAAATACACCAAGAGGGGCAATTTATGTAAACAGGTGTTTGTTCCCCAGCCTACATTATTAATGAAGGACAGGTCTTTCTCTTGTGAGAATATTAGTTCTCATGTAAAGAACTTAGACACGATACATGTAACTCTCTGTCTTAGGCACCACAATTTGCTGTGCTGAGTTGTGCCCCTTGGTTTACCCTGATTGTTTCTTGGTTTATCAGCACCATACCCGTATTTGTGGGTTTCACCATAGTGGTAAAGGTCTGAGACCTGCATCACTTTGGGCTTGTCTCCCACATTAAGCTAACAATCCATGATGTGTCTGAAATATTGTTTTAAACCCAACTTGCTCACTCATTTGGAATGGAGTAGATATACATGTCATTGATCCCAATTGCGTGGATCGTTGCTGATGATATCAATCACTGGATTGTCTGGTCCAGACTTGATTATTTACAGACCACCATCGTATAGTTGGAATATTGCTGAGTGCGGCGTTAAACAACAAACCAACCAACATATATATTATATTATGCTCAATGCCATCTTTGATTGATGATCCAAATAAGTAGCAGGCAGCAATCACTTCATCAACATGAAAAATGCCCCTTCACCATTAGTTGATAAGGAGAGAAGAAAATCTGTGTGATGTGTGCTGCACCCTCTTAACATTAATGTGTTGGTGCATATTTCATCCCTTCCCATGCCATGATCTGATGGTCTTGAATCCTGGATGCACTTTTTGATTCTTTATCTGTCGGAGCCGACATCTATGACTATATTTTTAGTGGTATGCAAGAAGGGTACAAGAGTTATGCGCCTTTGTGAACAGTTTGTTCCATCTCACACAGTGTTGAAAGTATGAAAGTTGCCGTAACTGAGGATACATGATCATACATCATGTAGCCCTTCTTGCATACCACTAATAATATGGTAACCTCATAACACACCCATCGGGGGTTTTCAGCCATGCTTTGTGCCTGTTGCAATATCCAGTAATGACTGGTCCCTATCACCCTCACTGTCGATTACAATGACTGATCCCCGTACATCGGGGCTGGTAAAATGATGGCTACCGAGTAAACGAGTGAAGTGAACATGTGTGTCTTGTTGTCGGTGTATTTAGTGTTTGGATAACACGTGATATTGAGACAGTGCCCAATGGGAATTCTTTAGAAAAGGCCCACAGCAACCATCGTGTTGTGCTACTCCCTACAAACAATTTTGATATTGACTTGTCACAACACCGAGCTACGGTCTGTATAACACAGTGCTTTCTCAATAGATCCTCGATCCAACTCTGCGTCGCACTTTATATACTTCAACAAAGTGCCAGCATTTTGATCTGACGGCAAATGCAACATGATTCGCTTCCTTGAAGTAACTTGCCTTCAAATATCAGTATTTATATTTTACATCATGGCAAAATATAGTAATTTATCCAGTTGGAAACCGGACCAGTAAAAAAATATTATCCGCCAATCCGAGGTAGAATTGGTCTTCAGCAACCCATGCTTGCCATAAAGGCGACTTTGCTAGTTGTAAGAGGCGACTAATGATATCGGGTGGTCAGGCTCGATGACTTTGTTGATGCATGTCATCGTATCCCACTTGCGTGGATCAATGATCATGATATTAATCACTGGATTGTCTGGTCCAGACTCAACTATTTATATACTGCCATCATATAGCTGGAATATTGCTAAGTGCGGTGTTAACATTTTAAGAGAGAAAATGGGGAAAAAACATGAAATCTCATCCCCTCAGAGAAACTTCAGTGAGGGAAGCCTTGTGTTCAGATGATGTGATGTAATCAATGTGTGACATCATGAACAATGAATAGTATTTTTCTTGTATCATTCTACCCTTCCAGGTAATATTGTTGTATCTTGCATAATGTATGGATTCTAATAGTCAAGACAGACACATACATGCACACAACTGTCTGACACTTAAACATCCCAACTCATGCAGTGACATACCATGAACACAACACAGATAGCATAGACAGCAAAACAGTAAAATACACCCAACCAAAATTGATTTGAGAATATTTTTCTGCATTTATGGAGGTATAAATGTAAAAATCAGTGTGCAGACTGTGTAAAACATCATTTTTTATGTTTAAACTCCATAAACACAAAAATATATTAAAAAACAAATCTTATAATAAATAAGTCAACAATTTAACTCCAGTGACTTATTTAATCTTTAACACAAAAATCAACAACTATACAACGACACAAAAATCAGGGACATCGTTTAGCAACACAAGCTCCACCAATTCAATTAGCCGAAACAAATGACATACCATATTCTCTGTATTATGCAACCTGTTCAAGCCGAAATTGTATTAAGTCATCTTCATGAACGCCTCTACTGAATTTACATGATAGTAAGTATTTCCTTGTGTATATTGCATACATATATACATATCTTATGAAAACAACAACGTAGAAGGGCTGTATAATTGCCTTGTAACTAGTTTCCTCCATTTGTCAATTTTGTATGAACCCAGGGCACTTATTGCAGCGATTACGTATTTTAAATATTAACCAGACAGAGATGCAAACCATCACAATTCTGGCGTAATAATTACAATTATGATGCTTGTCCTCACCCAAATTACGATTTTTGTCTTTGTCTTCACAAATTATTTGCATGCATAAAATACCAGAGTGCAAATTGTTCATTCACTGGTGATATGAAACTTTCCAAATCCAACTTTACTTTTACAATTTTACATTTATTGTCTTCACATCCGATGTAAGGAGTTGTCTCGGTTCCCCATCCTGAATGTCCCTGGTTAGTTCTTGGTTGGCCGTGTATCCTGCAACAGTAAGATTTGAACTGGCAGTCAGCTCTCTAGGGACAATGTCAGCATCGTGAATGTCCCAAGTCTTCCTTCTTAATTTAATTATATATACCGGTAAGTTATACATTTTGTTTGAGATTGTGAATTCAAAACCTATGACATTATACCGTCAGTACAGAGATAGATCAGGCCACCCAATCACATTATTCATATCGCAGTATATTCCTGATTATGTTTCTTGGTCTGTTAGCACCATACCTGTGTTGTGTTTCACCAAAGTGGTAAAGGTCGGTCTGAGACCTGCAATCGCTTCGGGCTTTCCTTCCACAGTAAGCTGACACGCCATAATAATATAGCGGGAATACTGTTCAAAGCCATGTTAAACCTAACTTATTCGCTCATTCATTTACTCACTCACGCAAGTCCCCTTCACTCCTACAAAGTTAAAATCTTATGGGGAATTATTATTATGGAGGACACATTTTGTATTTTTCGTTACACGAGCCTGATTCCCCCACTGAAAAGCAGCCGGTTCAAGAAATGGATGAAACATAAAAAATATTTTTATCATGTCTCCTGCTAGTAATATATACCCTCTTATACAATATAAAATGTTACGTATAAATTCCATGTCTCCATCAGTATCAGTGATTCAAGAAGCCAGCTGAACTCCATGGCATAATGACGTATAAGGGGAAAAGGACTTCTCAAAATTCCATGTTTGTAAAATTTTCAGACAATGGAGCCAACAATCATATGTTATTTGCGACTGCCCTTTTATGACACTGCAATTCGCTAAAACATCACTCACACACCCGCCCAATACTTCCCACCCACTTCTGTGTGAACTCTAACCTGATCTTCAGCAGGAGCCGTATCTTCTTCCTGGGAATCTGTTCGGTCTTTTGAATGTTTTCTGTTGTATGCCCGGGGTTTCTGGTTCCCGAAATGACCAGTGGTAGTTGCCTGAAACAAACAACAACTGTCTTGATTGCCTTGTTGAATCATGTATGAATCTTTATATGCATTCAGCCATTGCTGATGTTTAGACAATACAAATTTTCTTCAACTCTGTATAAAAAGCACCTTTCATCAAAATATCCTATCAACTCCAACAAGAAAGATATAGTGGTATTAGGAAAATGGAATTTTAAAATTGAAAATGATCTGTCTGCTGCAAGTCAATAGTGTGGGCCTTGTAAAGATTTATTGCAGTCTGTAACTTTGTTGATGAAGGTCCACATTCCGATAAAAGTCGACTGGAAACTATTCTGAAGACAATTTGAGTCTGAAGATTAGGTGAAGGTTTTGGTATAGACTGTCTCTTATCATTTTAGATGTACCAGTTGTACCAGAATAATTATGCATGACAAAAAAAGACAAAGGATTATTTGTTTCTATTTACATTTTGATTATGCTGTTGGGTTTCGGCATCATCAGTGACCAGACTGTGATTCTGTTCCAAAGTCATACCCTGCTGCTCTGGTCTGAATACTGCTGCACAGGACTTGGCAGTTTCCTTCTTCCAGCAGTCTGACATTTCTTCTGTCAAGCGTGTGTTCATGACGTGACTGCTTGCTGGTTTATGTTTCAATGAGCCCTCTGGCCCAGTCTTCTGTGGCTGACCTCTGTCATATGGACGGAGACCTGTCGTGACAGTTTTCTCATGGTTCTGTCCTTGTCTGTCAGCTGGACTTGTGATGAAGCCCTCTGGCCCAGTCTTGTGTGGCTGACCTCTGTCATATGGACGGAGACCTGTCATGACAGTTTGCTCATGGTTCTGTCCTTGTCTGTCAGCTGGACTTGTGATGAAGCCCTCTGGCCCAGTCTTGTGTGGCTGACCTCTGTCATATGGACGGAGACCTGTCATGACAGTTTGCTCATGGTTCTGTCCTTGTCTGTCAGCTGGACTTGTGATGAAGCCCTCTGGCCCAGTCTTGTGTGGCTGACCTCTGTCATATGGACGGAGACCTGTCATGACAGTTTGCTCATGGTTCTGTCCTTGTCTGTCAGCTGGACTTGTGATGAAGCCCTCTGGCCCAGTCTTGTGTGGCTGACCTCTGTCATATGGACGGAGACCTGTCATGACAGTTTGCTCGTGTTTCTGTCCCTGTCTGTCCCTCAAAGTACATGGACTGTTTGATCCATCTCCAGCTGTCAAGTAATTTGATCTCTCAATTGAAGACAGTCTCTTTCCATTTGCTTTCTCCACACTATGTTCACTCTTGCTTCTTTTACTTATACTGAGTGACTGTTCAGTACAGTGTGATAGTCTGGTTGGACAAGAGCGAGATCTCTGTATACACGTTTGTCCTGCTTCTGAAGTCAGAGTGTTCAGAGTGTTGTTGCCTAGTTGAAATGCAATGGATATCTCATCATCCTCACGCCTATGAAGGATAATAGTTGGAGGACTCTCTTGTCTTTGTCCGTTTTCTTTTTCCATCGTATCTGTAGGGTACACCGATTCTTCTTGAGTTGCGAGAGGCTGCTGATTTCCCGCACCACCATCATATATGTGATGTCCGGTACTAGGTTGTGTTACATGCCTGTGGATGTTATTCTGGGAACCTGCAAGATCTATTCCTGAAAATTTAGGAAGTTTGGGAATATTATCATGACAGAATGGTGATGCTCCTGCTTCTGTTTCATTTGGCATTCTGCCACGTTCATTCTCAACACTGGCGCCGCATGGTGACATGCTCTCTGAGCTGCTGTGAAGATTCTTGTCTTCAGGCTGTTGTCCAGGTTCATTTGGCATTCTACCACGTTCATTCCTAACACTGGCGCCGCATAGTGACATGCTCTCTGAGCTGCTGTGAAGATTCTTGTCTTCAGGCTGTTGTCCGGGTTCATTTGGCATTCTACCACGTTCATTCCTAACACTGGCGCTGCATGGTGACATCCTTTCTGAGCTGCTGTGAAGCCTCCCGGATGCCTCACCAGCTGAAAGTCTGTCTCCAGCGGGAGGACTCCTCATCCAGACAGTGACTTCTCGGACAAACTCAGACAGATTTGGTATGAATTGTGAAGCAATTTCAGGGGATTTTGTATACTGTAGAAAGAATCTCCACAGTTCCAGTAACAGCCTGTTTCTTCATAATCTTTGTGTCAAATGGTGGGTGATAGTATCTATCAAATGTCCATTTTCTTGTGAAAAGAAATCCCTTGTGGGGTTGTCAGATACAGGATCCACACCTGAAATGAGAAAAAAAGAAAAATTGGGTGCAGACTTTCTTTCACTGGTCCTCAGACCTTGTAGCTAGTCCTGCTTCCTGGAGACAGAAAAGGATAAAGGAATGACAGTGATGACATGTTTGTTTACTGTCAATCTGATAAACTGTTTATTGTTATAGTGTGAGGCTTACCTTCTCAGTCCTTGTACTGTCTCATGGGAACATTTATAGCTTGTTTAACTTACACTTTAGCTTTGGCTGCCTGTAGAGCAGATGCTATATGGGATGTTGAGCTGGTTCTTTTTTTCTAAATTTTCTCTTCTTGCATCTGGCACATCTGCTGTTTCAAAGGGACTTGAAGAGTTTAACAGGGTGTTCAGATTGATTCAGGTTAACCAGTGATGTTCTGCAATGCTTTTTTGTGATCTTTTGGACTGGGCTTCAGCATTACTTAAAGGGGCACTGATCTAACGCAATTCCGTGGGACTGGTTGTTGCCTTTGTTATTGTTTTTTCCCAGTGAGTACCCGGATGTATAGCAGAAATCTAGACTAGTTCGCGACCTCTGCTGCGCCATTCGTAAGCGCATTAGTCACGTTTATGGGTAGTAATAAGGGCATATGGTCACATTGATCAACAAAATGAAATAGAGTTTTCGAGATAATAAGGAAATGTAGGTATCTTTGTGGGTAGCATCGCTAATGGTGACGAAGTTTTGATAAGTCACTTGTTTCGTAATTTTGTGATTTTCGTTTACAGTATTTTGACTTGCAACACAAAGTAAATATTTCACCTGAGCATTGCTTTTTTATAGTGTGTATATTTTTTTACTGTCAAAATGTGTAACAAAGTTATTGAACGTCTAAATATTCAGTTATTTTACAAAGTGACTGAAAAACATTTCCATCTGTATTATTATCATAACGAATTCCAAACACTTTGATGTTTAATGTCATCACCAAGAGACTGAAAATGTTACGTTGAAAAGTACATTTCTATGTTGTTTGGCTTCTAATCCTACATAATAAACTGTTGTGATGTTTGTAGGCCCTTTTGATCGCCTTAATCAATCTTGGCAGATTTTTTAGTCAATATGACTGAAATATTTAGACATTTTATAAATAACCTGAGAGAATCACATTTTACAAATTGACGGTAATATATACACACTGGACCTGTGAAAACAACGTCTATCGCTCATTGAAAAATTTCCCAACCAAGACATAGAGAAACAAGAACGCATCGGTTCAAATGAAGGAAAACAAAATGCAAATACGATAATTACAACCTACCAAATTTATGTGTATAAATTTTAGGCAGCTTCCTTGTTCGAGAAATGTATCCGTGAAAATCTACACAAAGGAACAATATCCCACTCGCCTGCAGCTGTACAAAGAAACTTATTCGATGTCACATGTCCCTGTAACAATCAAATATTTTAAAAGATATATATCGTTTCGGGATATTATAACCCGTGTTCGTTTCTCAACTGATCACTTGGTGTTTCACATAGGTGTCAAGTCTCAAGGGTCGGCTGAGAAAGCCCACGTGACAACTTTTTTCATAACGTCCACCGTTCCTAAAAAATCCATTGAGTGATAGATAACAATGATCAATCAATCAACGTATTATCAGTTAACCCTTTGAACAAAGTATGTTGTTTTTACACTTCACGCCATGATATGAGTGTATTCCCTTTGTTTTAGTAAACCTAGACATGTAAACACTCACTTTTGACATATCCACTGTGCAAGATAACAGTGATTAATCAATCAACGTATTTTCTGTTAATCCTTTGATGACTAGGAACGATCCATTGATTTACAAACAAAAGTAAATCAACTGATCATTCATCTCTTGCTGTCCCGGGCTGCCACGTGCATATTACATAACACATTTCACCTCACTTCAAACCTGGATTTAGATTGAATAATTAGCCCAGACACAATAAATGCCAAATGGGAACCTTTGTCAGGTAATCTAAGTGGTGCTACCACTAATTGTACCTGTAATAAATTCATTAACTGAGCATGAAGTGAATGGCGACAAATACACAAGTGTGGGGTTATACGAGAAAACGTGGATGACAACAAGGGAGTAGTAATCGTATTATCGACGCAATCCGAAATCCGAAAATGCTTTCACTGCGTGGATACTTTTTGTAGTATTAAACTATAACCATCTGGGGTATTTCCAAATGATGACATCCGATGAGCTCCGCTGTTCTTCTTGTCTGTTTGTTTAGGCTGAAGAAATTAATTAACATGCGCCCTTTGTCGAAATCTTTATAGATCACAGTTAACCAATCAGTGTTTATGCAAAAATGCGTAAAACAAATATTGCCTCCAGCCTCCAAGTTTATTTAGCTGTCCTTGCAGACGGTAACCCAGTCTCTGGTCACGCTCAGTTGCGTTGCGTATCATCTGGGTACTCACGGGGAAAAAACCAATAACAAAGGCAACAACCAGTCGGGGGAATTGCGTTAGATCAGTGCCCCTTTAAAGCATAAATATGAGACTGCAACTTGCAGACACAAGGTAGATAGGACAAGGGCCCTTTTTGGAATATTGCTGAGAGTGGCGTTAAACAACAACCAACCAACCAACCAACCAACCAACCACAGGATTAGCTTTATTTAAGAACTGAGCAAGACTTTTAGAATTTGTTAGAAAAGATATCTTCTTATGAATGATAGTGGCTTCCTTGGTGCCACCTAAGTGCCTATCTTTCATCAAGCTTTAAGGGTCTCTTTTTTATTATTTATGTTCACTACAATGTGAACACACACAAAATTCTAATGTGCCCCATGGATAGTGATAATGCTGTTTTCTTGTTGTGGGTATTACCTAGAAACTTTAATTTCACAACCAGTAGAACACTATTTATATCAAGAAACGCACAACCAGGAGGCATTTTTTCTCAGAAGAAACTCATTCATTGTTTGCAAGTGCATGAATATGGAAACGATTTTGTTGCTTTTATATATTTGAAAAGCAATTTACCTGTTTCTTGGTTGTGTCTGACAATGTTGTAGCATGTTGCCAGACAGAGCAGGAACCAGTACAGCCCAAAGAAGAGCAGCAACAATAATTGAATGAAGGCATTCGATTGTGGCAGCATGGTCTCGGATCCTGAAACAAGATGAGGTTGTAGCTGATCATACAGAAGCATTAACGTATCAGTGTTACAGCTGTCCCATTTGGGGGAGGGGGGTGGGGGGAGAGAGGACAGGGCTGAGTGGTCATGCCAGGAGCCTCTGATCCTGAGTTCCAATCCCCATCATGATGCTTGGTTTGTCTGTACCAGGTTGTTGGTTTGGATGCGCCATCTTGTAAACACAGTAATTACGGTAATGAAAGAACGATGTTACCAAGGTTACTTTAGACCACGGGGTAGGATCACAGCAAAATGATGTCAGCCCAATGAGACAAAACTCAATAACTGTACTTTATCGTAGGATAAGGTACAGTCAATGCTTTTGATCTTTTAGCGAAGCATCTAAGAAATCATGCGCACCTTTTTCGATTCAGCCAACAAATTTTTTTATTTTCTTTGAATGGATAATGCTTCCTACCACGTTCATTCTCAACACTGGCGCCGCATGGTGACATGCTTTCTGAGCTGCTGTGAAGATTCTTGTCTTCAGGCTGTTGTCCAGGTTCATTTGGCATCCTACCACGTTCATTCTCAACACTGGCGCCGCATGGTGACATGCTTTCTGAGCTGCTGTGAAGATTCTTGTCTTCAGGCTGTTGTCCGGGTTCATTTGGCATTCTACCACGTTCATTCTCAACACTGGCGCCGCATGGTGACATGCTTTCTGAGCTGCTGTGAAGCCTCCCGGATGCCTCACCGGATGAAAGTCTGTCTCCAGCGGGAGGACTCCACATCCAGACAGTGACTTCTCGGACAAACTCAGACTGATTTGGTATGAATTGTAAAGCAATTTCAGGGGATAATGTATACTGTAGAAAGAATCTCCACAGTTCCAGTAACAGCCTGTTTCTTCGTAATCTTTGTGTCAAATGGTGGGTGATAGTATCTATCAAATGTCCATTTTCTTGTGAAAAGAAATCCCTTGTGGGGTTGTCAGATACAGGATCCACACCTGAAATGAGAAAAAAGAATTGGGTGCAAACTTTCTTTCACTGGTCCTCAGACCTTGTAGCTAGCCTTGCTTCCTGGAGACAGAAAAGGATAAAGGAATGACAGTGATGACATGTTTGTTTACTATCAATCTAATAAACTGTTTATTGTTATAGTGTGAGGCTTACCTTCTCAGTCCTTGTACTGTCTCATGGGAACATTTATAGCTTGTTTAACTTACACTTTAGCTTTAGCTGCCTGTAGAGCAGATGCTATGGGATGTTGAGCTGGTTCTTTTATTTCTAAATTTTCTCTTCTTGCATCTGGCACATCTGCTGTTTCAAAGGGACTTGAAGAGTTTAACAAGGTGTTCAAGAGCAGACTGATTTAAGTTAACCAATGTTGTTCTGCAATGCTTTTTTGTGATCTTTTGGACTGGGCTTCAGCATCCTTAGAGCATGAATATGAGACTGCAACTTGCAGACACAAGGTAGATAGGACAGGGGCCATTTTGGAATATTGCTGAGAGTGGCGTTAAACAACAACCAACCAACCACAGGATTAGCTTTATTTAAGAACTGAGCAAGACTTTTAGAATTTGTTAGAAAAGATATCTTCTTATGAATGATAGTGGCTTCCTTGGTGCCACCTAAGTGCCTATCTTTCATCAAGCTTTAAGGGTCTCTTTTTTATTATTTATGTTCACTACAATGTGAACACACACAAAATTCTAATGTGCCCCATGGATAGTGATAATGCTGTTTTCTTGTTGTGGGTATTACCTAGAAACTTTAATTTCACAACCAGTAGAACACTATTTATATCAAGAAACGCACAACCAGGAGGCATTTTTTCTCAGAAGAAACTCATTCATTGTTTGCAAGTGCATTACCTTTGCATGTGTTTGTGATGGGTGCCACCGGTGGGACAAGATACGCTCGTCTTTTCATGAACACCTGGTATCATCCCTATTTGATAGTGATTCCTAAACGCATGCTCATTGTATCGTCAGACTCGTACAATCAACTCTGCTTTTAGCAAAGATTTCTGATGAATATGGAAAGGCATTTGTTGCTTTTATATATTTGAAAAGCAATTTACCTGTTTCTTGGTTGTGTCTGACAATGTTGTAGCATGTTGCCAGACAGAGCAGGAACCAGTACAGCCCAAAGAAGACCAGCAACAATAATTGAAGGAAGGCATTCGGTCGTGGCGGCATGGTCTCGGATCCTGAAACAAGATGAGGTTGTAGCTGATCATACAGAAGCATTAACGTATCAGTGTTACAGCTGTCCCATTTGGGGGGAAGAGGGTGGGGGGAGAGAGGACTGGGCTGAGTGGTCATGCCAGGAGCCTCTGATCCTGAGTTCCAATCCCCATCATGATGCTTGGTTTGTCTGTACCAGGTTGTTGGTTTGGATGCGCCATCTTGTAAACACAGTAATTACGGTAATGAAAGAACGATGTTACCAAGGTTACTTTAGACCACGGTGTAGGATCACAGCAAAATGATGTCAGCCCAATGAGACAAAACTCAATAACTGTACTTTATCGTAGGATAAGGTACAGTCAATGCTTTTGATCTTTTAGCGAAGCATCTAAGAAATCATGCGCACCTTTTTCGATTCAGCCAATAAATGTATTATTTTCTTTGAATGGATAATGCTTACATGTAAGAGAAAATTTAACAAGTGAAGGACCATTTTGTTGTTGTTGGACTTTTAGAGTCAGTTAACTTCCTTGCCTCAGGAAGATTAGATACATTTGATATCGCAATACACTTGGTGAAATTATCTGTGTATTCAATGATTGCACTATAAGTCAGGATTGTTTTTGCAAAGGACAAGACTGAATAAATCTCCCTTTGATCCACAGGAAATTCAAATTTTGAAGTTTGGAAAACTTTGTAGCAATGGACAGATTTATCAGATTTGTTCAAATGGCTGACAACTAGCCTCTATTATTTTGTTCACATGCAGGTTTCCTGATGGACTGGGGCTTTTCAAGTGTACATAAGTGGCTACAATGAGTGAAAAAGGACAATTTCTCTAATCTTTTTCCATGTGATTGTAGTATTTTTACTTACATCACATAAGAATACTTCTGTCTTTCTCATGTTCAAATATTACCACTTCTTCCTGAAAGTCCAAGACCTGCCTATTCAACGTATTTTTGTCTAACATACACATTTAGTGTTGATGTAAATCCAAAACATGCACGTGTTGAAATGAACGTGGACTAGTTTTCATTCAAGTGGATACATCTGATAGTCGTAGTGACATTATCTAAATGTGTTCCAATTTCTTATGCAGGTCCTGTGGACCAAAAAAGGTCCTCATTCTACTGTGTCCTTTCTCTGCTTATTGCAAAAACTCTTGAAACGACAGGTCTGGTACAGTATGCGTTCAGTAACAAAATGGCTGATACAACGAGAAACCAGGAAACTCAGAGCTGTGAGCTTATGGTACATCTAAATTTGAATATTCACCTGCCTTTGCACTTCAATGAAGTTGAGGTCAATTGTTCTTGTTCCTTTGATAGAAGATGCTGTGCAAAATTTGATCCAATTCACAATAAAAGGTGAAAGTCAATCCCAAGCTTTACCGAATGTACCAGTATACGTCGGAGAAAGGGTGTGTACTACGTCATTCATACTGGTATACACAGGCCGAGACCTGTGTGATGTATGTCATCAAGGTACACAGAACTTTTTCTTCGATACAAATTTGACTCAATAAAGTTTCTACATTCTCAAGATAAATGTCTTCATCAGAATAACCTTAGTCCTTCGGTGAAGATAGCCTGTCAGCTAGCTCAGTACTTTGACGAAAGGGGTCACAGTGACATGTGATGTCAGTGTCGATTTTATTGATATCTATACGTCTAAGTTATTTGGTGACCTTATACACTTGCCATGCATACAATTGCAAATTCCAGTTCTGTATCACTTTCTAAACAGATTATTTTTTTTACCAAGAATAATTGTCTAAATTTGAAATTGTGCATATGTGAAAATGTCTTTTTCTGTATCATTGCTATTAACAGTATTGGCCTGCATGAGTTATAATGGGACATTTAATCGGAAAATGATAAAAGTTGATAATGATTCTGTAACACTGTTCATGCATGGAAGCATGTTTTCAGACACCTCTGCAGTTTAACACAATGATGGTTACACTGCATGACTGCGTCCATTGAACAGCTTGATGCAGTCTATTCAGAGTTTAAAGGCAGTTGGGGTAGCTAAATGAGCATTACAAGTGGGTTTTTGCATGATGAACTGTGATCTCTTTATGTGATATGTTCAACGGAACAGAACATAGTATTCTTACACAGTTGGTGTGTTGGTGTGTGGCGTGTGGTAATTTGTGTTCATCTGCCATTTATGTTATTTAGCGTTATGTGGTTTGAGAATAGGTGTACACACAAGCAGAAAAAAGGCATGCTACGGGTACGTTCATGACCTGTCACATGTGACCCTCGTGTATGCTTGTATCCTATTGTATCAATACCAGACATACCAATATGATAGGCATATTGGGACAGATTAATGTGATGAACAAAACATTTGGTGAATTGTTACATCACCACCAAAGTTCCACACTCAAGAAATTGGTCGAGATGAATGTGGAACTGGGTGCCGTTGTACAAAACAACCTTAGTGCTAAGACTGTTGTAAAATCTATGTTAGGTATATAGAATACTAAACGAGCTCCCGTGTAATACCAATTTTATGAAACGAGTGAATAGTTGTGGTATATGATGAGCGAAAGCGAGTCAGATACCACAACTATTCACGACGAGTTTCATAAAAATTGTTTTACACGGGAGCGAGTTTAGTATTTTATTTATTACTTGCAATTTATAACGTTTTTTGAATTATACTGTTGAGTATGAATAGGCTGACACCTACATGATCCACGACATAGTCCAATTGAGTTTAACAGAATAATACTTCAAACATGTCAAAAGTTGAAATGTATGAATTTCATACCATACAACGGGTCTACCTTTAGAATTCACAAAATTATCGTAGGGCTAAGACTTTCGCATCTCACATACTTTAACTTAGACCAACGACTGTCGTTTGGCTACAATACGATCGCCTTGTGGAACGGGCCTTGCACCTCAAAGTTTTCAATAACGTCACAATACCCGATGACGTAATTTGTGGAATTTTGATGCAAGATCCATCGGCGAAACAATGCCATGTGACGTCAGCCTAGCAACAAGGTTGCTGGGGTCATCGAGTGTGCATAAGCTCCTCTCAGTGATCTATCAACTCCACACGCAATGTCGTTGAATAAGCCAAGGGATGTTGAGAGCTTTCAATATTTGTTCGTGAAACGTGTTCCGAGAGTACATAAGCACGCGTTTTGGTATTACACAATGTGTAATAAAGCTGTATGTTTATTAAACGGGTGATCTCTTCACGGGCAAGTAATAAATGGGAGTTACGATCACCTTAGCGCTAAGATCGATCTATACAACAGCACCCAGGACTTATTGCAGGCACATCAGTATATTTGTAAAGTGAGGGAATCTCTGATTGAAGGGTACACATAAATGTGTAAGTAATGATTTAACACAAGGAGAAAACATGTCATGATAAATATATTGATTGAATTATAGTGGATGAGGGACAACTGTCTAAACTACAGAAATGTACTTGTGAAATTGCACCCCTCAGCCATACTAAAGTCTGGGTTTGAATAAATGATTCACCCTGATCCATGTTCTGTCAGAACTGTACCCTGCTCTTGTGTTCACCACACCCTGCTCTTGTGTTCACCACCCCCTGCTCTTGTGTTCACCACACCATGCTCTTGTGTTCACCACCCCCTGCTCTTGTGTTCACCGCCCCCTGCTCTTGTGTTCACCACAGCATGCTCTTGTGTTCACCACCCCCTGCTCTTGTGTTCACCACCCCCTGCTCTTGTGTTCACCACCCCCTGCTCTTGTGTTCACCACATCATTCTCTTGTGTTCACCACACCATGCTCTTGTGTTCACCGCCCCCTGCTCTTGTGTTCACCATCCCCTGCTCTTGTGTTCACATCCCCTGCCCTTGTGTTCACCGCCCCCTGCTCTTGTGTTCACCATCCCCTGCTCTTGTGTTCACCACCCCCTGCTCTTGTGTTCACCGCCCCCTGCTCTTGTGTTCACCATCCCCTGCTCTTGTGTTCACATCCCCTGCCCTTGTGTTCACCGCCCCCTGCTCTTGTGTTCACATCCCCTGCTCTTGTGTTCACCACCCCCTGCTCTTGTGTTCACCACCCCCTGCTCTTGTGTTCACCACACCCTGCTCTTGTGTTCACCGCCCCCTGCTCTTGTGTTCACCACATCATGCTCTTGTGTTCACCACACCATGCTCTTGTGTTCACCGCCCCCTGCTCTTGTGTTCACCACATCATGTTCATTATAAAAAACTATTGTTTTTATGTGGGACAAGTTGAAGTAAAGAAAGTAAGCTTCTAGAGCTGATTGACCAATCCGGTTTGAAGTATCTAATGGCCTGGACTACTGCTCTGAAACCTTCCATGTTGGGTCTGTTTGTGTATAGGGATGTGACGTCCATTGTGACAAGGATTATGTCGCAATCCACAGGGATATTGAAACTTTCTAGTCTCTGAAATGAGTAGTGTCAATGATGAAGTTAATTTTTATGTTCATCTACAAAGCTGCTAATTTGTGACAGCAGAGGTACCATGGCGACCTGGTACTTAACCTGGGAAATCCGTGAAGACCTGGGGTAGAATAGGTCTTCATCAACCCATGCTTGCCGTAAAAGGTGACTATGCTTGTTGTAAGAGGCGACTAACGGGATCGGGTGGTCAGGCTCGCTGACTTGGTTGATGCATGTCATGGTATCCCAATTGCGTGGATCGATGCTCATGATGTCAGTCACTGGATTGTCTGGTCCATACTGGATTATTTAACAAACAAAACAAACAAACTTAACCTAGGGCAACGCATTTGTGGATTTAGATAAAACCGACGAGGTAAAAGTCTGTTAAGCACTTTGAGTGTGATTTCTTTCTTGGAGAGGTTTTTAGGGAGTCATGGTTTGTTTTTTTATAGACAATTTCATCAGACAGTTGGCATGTAGCCTCAGTTATGTTGTCTGTGGTGTTATGGGTGTTGACTGCGGATCATTTATCAGCCTTTTTAAAAACAATTTCAGGGATATTTTTAGGTAATTCATGGCTATCCTTTGCGTGTGTGAGAGGTTGGTCCATGTGAAAGGGAAGGTGTTCATTTTGAATACTGTATTCGACGTAATAAGTGCCCAGCTCTAATAAGCGCCCACGGCGATATTTGCTAATATATTGGCTAGTGAACAATCCCAATTAGCACCCCTTCCGATTGATCAATGTACACAGGACTTATTTATTCATGTATAATACGTATGTTATATGCATTCTTAATTATGGGGAATTAAATTCTGGAAAAAATATATTTGTCGTATATAAACATTTCAGGCTGTCCACATAAACCACGAAATTTACGATCTTTCAACTCTGTTGTTTTTCACCAAAATGATATTCTAATAAGAGCCCCCTATTTCTAACTTTGAGAGCAGTAATTGGTGTTTAACTGATTTGAAAAATGCATGGAGGGCAGGGTCTCAGCCCAGATTTGGGGTTCAGGTACTTCGTTGGCCACACTTACGGTCCAGGGCTCTGTTCCACAACGCGATCATAACTCCCATACTTTAACATAGGCTTACGACAGTCGTAGCGTTACGATCGCTTTGTGGCACGGTGCACAGGTGATTTGTTGTGTTTCCCGAGCATATGTTGTTTGTCTCACGGGAAATTGAGATATTCTCATTCTTCTGAAAGCATCCATTCGGACATGGGCTTGTCGGCTCGGAGTCAGTATACTGTGTCTGAGTGGGGTATACATGTTAAACTGCGGCATGATTTCTCACTGGGCTAGCACTTTAAAACTGACATTAGTCCAGACCAGTTCAAGCACGCACGCAAGCACGCACGTGTATGCATGTCGTAATATAAGTGCACAATCTTGGACGCGATATTAAACCCTATTTCCCCGCATCATTCTCCTGAAGTAGGCTTTTAGATCAATGTAAATATTACTAAGATGTTGTTATATGGGTGTTTGGCTTATAGGTTGATGACAGCAAGCCATCTTGAAAAGAGTCACTGCTTTTATCAGGTGTTTAATAGCCAATACCCTTTTCTCACTGTAATATCATCAAATCAGACCAGTGGGCATTATAGTCATTATTTTCATGATAATCATCCCTATTTATATATCTGTCTGTAGTCGTACAAGGCAAATCCACGGAATGGAATCAGCTCCAGTGTGACTTTTCATGCGTGACCTTTGCAGTTATCCAATCAAACTGAATAAAACAACATCAGCCTTGTATGACACACGTGTGACAGACCTATTTAGCATCTCACCACCCCTGGGTCATAGAACCCAATATACATCAACTGGTCAGAATGTTCAGATGTCATAATGTTTGATGTGTCACTTGTATATCAAGGAAAATAAGCCTTTTTCACTTGTAAACTTGGAATAATTCATTCATTTCACAGTTCATTATAGACATTGTTCGTTACATATACGTTTTCACTGGGAAACGTCCACCATCTTGGATACAACAAAGCACAATACAGTCGTGCCTCGTTTATACGGACACTTGCGTCCTTTCACAATTCGTCCGTATAAACAAATTTCGGTATAACTTAAACCAGCTTCTTACTGGAAGAGTTACTTCCCTTCAATTATGCAACTCATGACAGATGACAGAGCAAGCAGATACATCCACTCAATCTTTATTCAAAACATACATGTTTAAAAAAATCTGTCATGGAAGTTTGAACTTTACCACATTTCGAGGTTTGAATTTTAAACAATAATTCCAAATTGTCCAGATCGCCTGTGTTCTCGTAATATGTAATCAAGGCCTCTATACAAGCATTTCATTTGAATTTTCCGGGTGATTTAGTCACTTCTGTTTGTCTTTTAAAATGTCGCCAATTGTCGATTTTCCTATGGTATGTCCAAATTCAGTGCCATAATGCTTACTGATGGTTTCCGAACTTGCTGACGGGTGTTTTTCCTTAAACAGACAAATTTCCCTTTTTTTGCGTGCTGTAACTGCGTGTCGCTTACGTTTCGCTGGTTGACAGGCGATACTCACAGTTTGAAGTCACAACTTTGACCTCTGTCCTCCACAGACGCCTTATTTATCAAATGGGATTACATGCACAATAAACAAGCTCGTCTCAAACATAACTCAGTGTCACTTGGTTAATTGACTTCTCACGAATCAAAGGATTACCACCAGCGGAAGTGTATTGTCCGGGTAAGTGAGACAATTTTGTGTGCATTTCAGTGTTTTGTGTATGAAAATGACCATCTGGTTCCGGAAACTGAATTTCCATATATACGGGTAAATTTATATAGTAATTATTTCATTTTGAATGAAAATCGTCCGGGTACTGAGGTTTTCGGATATCTGAAGTCTGTATAAGCGGGGCACGACTGTACACGTTATTGCAGCCTTGCCCGCCATGATAGCATGGGCAAGTGAAGTGACACTTTGACATAATCTGGTGAAATCTATGTTTGTCTTACAGACAAAATTAGTCCAGTAGCAGGCAAGATTGGCATAAAGCAAGTTCAACAAATTTTAGTAGTCACCGGTGTTGATTCACCGCTGATTGCGTACAGCCAATTGTCAGTGACACTTGACACTGAGTGAGATTTCTCAGTTCGCTATACACGGCACTAGTGGTATATGGGCTTGTCGGGGATCAGATATCAGTTCACTATATACGTTAGTTCGCTGTAGAGAGTTTGTTATTTACTCACATTTTATATGATGATATAGAGGAGACAAATCGGGGATTTCATTGTATCCGTTTGTTCGCTCTATCTTGGTGCTACTGGATTTGTTACTGATGTGAAGCACAAACTTTACGAGCTAAACATTCGCTTTCTCCATGCGATGGAAGTCTATCCGGCTCAGGGAACCTCATCCACCCTCATAGTGGTCAATGTAAATCATGATCCAGCCCTTATGCTGCAGAGCGGACAGACAATACCCTTGCACTGTATGATAGATAGACAGAGAACCGATTGCAAGATTTGAATAGTCTGAATTGTGTGCTGTGAAATTTTACTTTTTTTACCTTGACTATCACAAACACATGCAAAGGCAAGTCAAGTGTCCACCTGAACAAACATTTGGTACAAGTTAACATAGAGAATTGCATAGGACATCACTTTGTCACTTATGCGTCAACTTAGGAAATGTCCACCACATGTCTACCCTAAAACATTTTGAAAGCTTTGCTGAGGCCTTGAATGTTGGAACCCTGATGAAACAACTGGTGAAGAAGAACACAACAATTTACTAGTTATATAAGTTGATTTTATTTAAACATTTAAAAATATTTCAAGCATTATTTTTGTTTAGAACACTTAACAGACATAAAATTAGTCAAAGCATTATAAATATTCTTAAAGTACTGTAAAACCTATAAACAGTTTTCAATTGTGATTTCTATTTTTATTGGCAGGAATTTCCTTGCTTCATATTGTACTCAGGGCGGGTGCCCTGTAGTTCTGTTATGTACTCTATGTAGCAATGTTCAGTACATCTCTGATCCATGTCTTCCACCCAGGCCACTCTAATGTATCTGTCTCTGTCTACTGTCTGAAGATACTTATCAATCGGCTGGTTGTTGCCAGTGAAATGTTGGTTCAGGCGTTTTCCAATGTGTATGGATCTTCCTACGTAGATGATGACATTGTTATGTTTTATAACATAGATACCCTCCACATCAGGATTGGGGCGAATTATCCATGGCAATATAGTCCTCATCAGCACTCTGCTACCAATATGTGCTTGTCTCTACAACAAACATGCATCTCCATTGAACAGTTGCTACATGAAACGATTGACCAAAAGGTGCATATATATTTGTATTAAGATACTCTGATTGGTTACGGATTGGCCAAATTCCTTCAAATACGCTATCTCTATTACATCATAGCCATCTAATGTTGATAACTGACCATTTCTTAGCATCCTCTGGTATAATTAGGCCAGGGGATTGAACCACCCACCGAGAAATAAGCTTAAACTTACCTATCTCAAAATCAAAAATTAAAAGTGTCAACAAGCAAAAAATCACCAAAAAAATAACTTTTATCTAAACTCAATTAGCCAAATCAAAAAAGTTCTCAAAAAAACCCTAACCAAACCAGAAATTCTACATCCGTCCAAAAAAATCGACAGAATAATCACTAAACTCCAAACAGGTCACACCAACCTAAATAACCATTTCAAAATAAAAAACCCCAATGCAACAGGAAACTGCCCACACTGCAAACAACTAGAAACCCCAGAACACGCACTCATACACTGCACACACAACCTAACACACCAAACTACATTACAAACCACCCTCAATCTAAATAAGTCTCTTTACTCTAGAAGCAATCCTAAACTCACAAAATAAACTAGAAAAATTCAAAGCCTTAGGTGTATTCTTAATCAAAACGGAACTAATACATCGCATTTAAAAACCCAATAAACTACCAAATCCAAATCACATAAACAAACAAACAACCACCACACCCGTCTCCCTTAGTTCTCCTCCCAAACCCCATCGGCATCTATTCCAAATCTCAAAATTCCAAAATTCTATATAAGCAACCCTTAAAGCCCCCTCCTGGGTTGCAACTTTCCCCCCTTTCGGAAACACATTAAATGGCATCAGTCGGAAAGCGCACGTAAAATCTCCAAAGTGAGTGAGTGAGTGAGTGAGTGAGAAAGAGATTGAAGAAAGAGAGAAGAAAGGTCTTACCCTTAGCCTAGCGAGGGTTAGGCTGGGTGCTCCGGGGCACCAAGACAACAACCACTACCACTATGTGCTGACCTGGCACATAGTGTCTTCTGTATGTATATATCTACATTTATAAAGTAAAACTGTATATACCGCAAGCCATCGTCTCCAAGTTGTCACTTCCTACTGAGAACCATACGTCAGCCTCTTGCATATACGAGTATGCAAATTATTCATTAATCAACGTCTTGATCACACGCGTTGTTAATTGCATCAAAATTCTTTGAAGTTGTATCATTGGGTGCCTATTAACTGAATCACCGGTAGATTGGAAGGAAACATGTGCACAGCTGATTTGCTATTTCCGGCTTAGTTTACGAGAAAATACACACAGTAATCTTAATCTCAGCATATAAAACAATGCCTTTGAGAGCAAGAAATACATTTTAAATAGTAAATCATCATGACTTGTTATATCAAATTTTATACTTTTATTGTATGAAAAGAAATGAGATCAAAATTGGGCATACAATGTTAAATGTCTACCGTATAAATGTGGGTATGGTTACATCTGGGACAACCAATGTTTCTTAGAGAATCATGCCATGTTCATATCGAAAATAAGGCAGACGCTTTTTGATATGTACTTTCAAACATGGAGAACTACTGTAGATGTTACTAGCAAATGCGAATATTATAGATATTTTAAAGTGCAAATATGCGCAGACAATTATTTTAACTTATGTAAACATAAGAACATGCAGAATATCATTAACACAATTTAGATGCAGCTCACACAGGTTAATGGTTGAAGTTGGCAGGCACAACAAAATACCCAAATGTTTAAGATTATGTAAACAATGTCCTTTAAATGTCATTGAAGATGAATATCACTTTTTGCTTATTGTTGTAAATATTATAATTTAAGGAAAAAATATATTGAACAGAAATACTATGTACATCCAAATAAATACAAGTTTATCTCTTCAATATCACATGTGAGCAAAACGGCTATACGAAATCTCTCTCTCTTTATATATCATGCCATGTTATTAAGAAATGAATCCTTGTAACATTTCTAACTGCTTCCACATTGTCATGAATTCTGTACTATGGGCCTGTGGCCTTACAGTTATTTAAGAATTGACCTTCACTTTGTGTGAGTTCATTGGAGTATGAACCTTCATAGAGTGAGGGCCAAACTGTATGAACGTCGGAGCTTGCGACGACGTTCATACAATGTTTGGCCCTCATTCTATGAAGGTTCATACTCCAATGAACTCACACAAAGTGAAAGTCAATTCTTATAATTTTTTTATCACAATTTCTTACCTCAAAGGATGTAGGCCAAGATCTAAACACAATTTTATTTAGTATGTGTGACTTCATGTTTACACTGACAGCCATACAACAACCAGCTATATCGCGGAGTAAAATAGTTCCTCAAAAAGAGATGTGACATGGGCGTTAATCCGTCAGCGGGTAAAATGAAACAACAATAATTTGCCTGTTTAAAGTCGATCCTGGGTCGTTATTTCTGTATTACATAATTCTTAAAAAGACACTACCTCTATCTCTCTACATCATTGCCATAATTAAAAAATCCTGTATTAAAACTAACATTGTCATATAGAAGTAGTATTCTTACAATTATTAACAATGATATTTCTATATTACATGAACTGTAACAAAAAGAAATGTTTTAGAATATTGACTTACCGGACACGACATTTTCTTCCTGTCTCTGCTGAAATCAAGAAAGCAGCTTATTAAGATTCTTAAATTACTATCCTTATTATTTAGTATTATTAAAAAGGAACCAAACATTTTCTGTAATCATAAGAAATCTCCATTATACAGTTTTGACTATATCTTAAGGATGTGCTGGATAGTATCAAGAACTGAATTAAGAATTGTAATTCCATTCAAACACATAAAATATATACTCCAAAATATCTATCACCATGAAATTGTTCCTAACAGGTTTTTTAATTGTCCCTGCTTACAGAATGCTGCTTACCTCGTACTATCGTGACTGAACAAAATGGATGCTCGATGCCCCTTCAGTATCTACACAATAATGGAATATGCTTCTTAATGATTGTTAGATATTTATAGCAGTAACTCAACTCTGACAAGTCTGTTTTTTCAGTGCTATTTAAAGTAGGAGTCATCATAAACTAACTGGCTAATCCCAGTACCTCGACAAAGGTCTATATCGACCTGACATGTGGTCTTTCTCTTCATTTTCCAATGGTTCAGGTATATTTTCCAAATGCTGATTATCAGAAACAATTGGACGTTAATGTCAATGAAGATATGTAGTCAATGTATTAAATTACAAGCATACCTGAATTACGTATGTACGGCCATGGTATGTTGTCCTTTCTCTGATTATAGCGATAACTCTTGACCCACAGAAGAAACATGATGGCCGACATTACAAACTAGCAGCTAGAAAACGCAGAGATGTGACCTAGTACATCAAAATTTGAAATCTTACCTGTCTGTGTACTTTAGTTATGCCTTGTTGTTCCTTTGAACAATTCGATCTCTTTCAAAGCTAAAGAAGATTAAAGTCCTTCACGCAGTTGGAGTGAGTGTGCACTTTCACAAACAGGAACAGGAAAGTAACTGCGCATGCGTCACAATGGTATACCTGTATGATACACATCATCAAAAAAATGTGGTGTGACCAGGTAAAACTTTTCCTCCGAACATATTTTGGCAATAAATAAAGTTTCTACTTTCTCATGATAACTGTGTTAATATTCAGCAGTTTAAATAAACACAATTTTTCAGTGGAGTTATCCTGTGTCAGCTTGCTCAGTAATGTGATATCAATATCTATGTTATAGATGCTAAATTCTAGTTTCCTGAAGTATCTAAATCTAAAATTGTTGTGAAGCAGTTGTGAAAATGTTTTTTTCTCTGTATCATTGGTGTTAAGATCATATGCTTGCACGAGTAAGGGTACATTTAATAGGAAAACTTTAATAGTTGTTTAAGAGCGTGTACTGAGACCCCCCTGCAGTTTAATGCTGTTTGCAGTGTTTGTTGCTCAGCATGACTGCGTCCACTGTACGGCCTGATAACATGCATTCCATTCAGTGTCTAAAGGGCAGTTGGGGTGGCTAAATGAGCATTGAAAGTGGGTTGTTCTGTGATTAAAGGGGCACTGATCTAACACAATTCCCCGGGACTGGTTGTTACCTTTGTTATTGTTTTTTCCCAGTAAATACCCGGATGTATAGCAGAAATCTAGACTAGTTCACGACCTCTGCTGCGCCATTCGTAAGCGCATTAGTCACTTTTATGGATAGTAATAAGGGCGTATGGTCACATTGATCAACAAAATGAAATACAGTTTTCGAGATAATAAGAATATCCACACAAAGGAACAATATCCCACTCGTCTGCAGATGTACAAAGAAACTTATTCGATGGCACGTGTCTCAGTAACAATCAAATATTTTAAAAGATATATATCGTTTCGGGATATTATAACCCGTGTTCGTTTCTCACCTGATCGCTTGGATTGTTTCAGGTGTTTTACATAGGTGTCAAGTTCAATGGTCGGCTGAGAAAGCCCACGTGACAACTATTTTCATAGCGTCCACGGTTCCTAAAAATTCCATTGAGTGATAGATAACAATGATCAATCAATTAACGTATTATCAGTTTACCCTTTGAACAAAGTATGTTGTTTTTACATCGGCACTTCGCGCCATGATGTGAGTGTATTCCCTTTGTTTTAGTAAACCTAGACATGTAGACACTCACTCTTGACATATCCACTTTGCAAGATAACAGTGATTAATCAATCAACGTATTTTCTGTTAATCCTTTGATGACTAGGAACGATCCGTTGATTTACAAAAAAAAGTAAATCAACTGATCATTCATCTCTTGCTGGGCTGCCACGTGCATATTACATAACACACATTTCACCTCACTTCAAACCTGGATTTTGATTGAATAATTACCCCAGACACAATAAATGCCAAACGGGAACTTTTGTCAGGTAATATAAGTGGTGCTACCACTAATTGTACCTGTAATAAATTCATTAACTGAGCATCAAGTGAATGACGTCAAATACACAAGTGTAGGGTTATACGAGAAAACGTGGATGACAACAAGGGAGTAGTAATCGTATTATCGACGCAAGCCGAAATCCGAAAATGCTTTCACTGCATGGATACTGTTTTTAGTATTAAACTATAACCATCTGGGGTATTTCCAAATGACGACATCCGATGAGCTCCCTTGTTCATTTGTCTGTTTGTTTAGGCTGAAGAAATGAATTAACATGCGCCCTTTGTCGAAATCTTTATAGATCACAGTTAACCAATCAGTGTTCAAAAATGCGTAAAACAAGTATTGCCTCCAGCCTCCAAGTTTTTTAAGCTGTCCTTGCAGACGGTACCCCAGTCTCTGGTCACGCTCAGTTGCGTTGCGTATCATCCGGGTACTTACGGGGGAAAAACAATAACAAAGGCAACAACCAGTCCGTTAGATCAGTGCCCCTTTAACTGTGATCTCTTTATGAAATGTTCAGTATAAATTATTGTTACACTACAGGTGAATTGGTTTGTAGTAAATGTGTTATTCTGCCTTTTACATTATCTAGCGCTACAGTAAACTATGTATATAACAAACATGCAAATGTCTCTCCTTATATAACATTTGACCAACAAAATATAAAATGGCGGACATAACAAATTAGCAACTAGAAAACGCAGAACCGTGAGCTAGTACATCAAAATTTGAAACTTACCTGTCTGTGTACTTTAGTTATGCCTTATTGTTCCTTTGAAAGAATAAGTGATTTAAAATTCGATCTCTTTCAAAGCTAAAGAAGATTAAAGTCCTTCACACGGTTGGAGTGAGTGTGCACTTTCAACAACAGGGAAAGAAATGCGTACTACGTCATCAAAAAATGTGGTGTGACCAGATAAAGCTAACTTTTCCTCCGAAACAAATTTTGGCAATATATAAAATTTCTACTTTCTCATGATAACTGTGTTAATATTCAGCAGTTTAAATAAACACAATTTTTCAGTGGAGATATCCTGTGTCAGCTTGCTCAGTAATGTGATATCAATATCTATGTTATAGATGCTAAATTCTAGTTTCCTGAAGTATCTAAATCTAAAATTGTTGTGAAGCAGTTGTGAAAATGTTTTTTTCTCTGTATCATTGGTGTTAAGATCATATGCTTGCACGAGTAAGGGTACATTTAATAGGAAAACTTTAATAGTTGTTTAAGAGCGTGTACTGAGACCCCCCTGCAGTTAAATGATCTTTTTATGTAATGTTAAGTATAAATTATTGTAATACTATAGGTGAATTGGTTTGTAGTAAATGTGTTATTCTGCCTTTTACATTATCTTGCGCTACAGTAAACTATGTATATAATAAACACGCTTATAACAAACTGATGGATATAACAAACGTTTATTTTGTCCCGGCCATTTGCTGAATATATGCTTATAATCAACTACGGTTTTAACAAACCAACATTAGTGGTCCCTTTGAGTTTGTTATAACCGTAGTTTGCTGTATGTGGTTTGTGAACATGTTTACGTACGAACAGAAAGCAGCACCTTACAGTTATCCTAAATCTTTGACTTCTTCTTCTGAACTGGAACTAAGAGATATATATCAACCATATTTGGTTGGAAGCACTCTCCGGTCGTGGGGATTCAAAATTGTACAAATGGAGGGCCGGGCTATCCCTCCAAGGGGCTGGGGGGCAGGGCTAAATAGGAGTAATTTGGCGTTATTGTTTTCAACGACTTCTTCTCTGGAACTAAGAGATAGATATCAACCATATGTTGTTGTTGGAAGCATTCTCCAATGGTGACAATTCAAAATTGTACAAATGGAATGGCTGAACCCTACCCCCAGTCCCGGGGACTTAAGGGCGGAGCTAAAAAGAGTTTATAACTTGGACACAGTTAAGATCCCCGCTGTATAAACATATGTACAATTGAGAGTATTATCATGGAACTGTTCTGGGTGAACAATACCTTCCAAATGACGTGCTGGTTTTCTTGGGGAATTAGTCAGCAAAGAGCCAGAGTCACAGGAGACTAATCACAATTTTATTTACAAGAACAATTTACAATATCTTAGAATATAACTGAGGTGCCACAGAGAGTCGGTACACACTCTGGGCTGTGGGAGAGAGGTCTGCTTGGTAAGAGAGTCAAACCCCTTCTCTTTTCTCCTTCTTCCTCTCTGGACCAAGGCTTATATAGCCAAGGTCACCTGACATTTAGTAAGTAATAAATATAAATGTAAACAGTAAATCATCAGTGACATACTTGCACATCCTGTTCAGGATGACAGACGGTCGATGTACACAAAACTGGGGATTAACAATTAGGATTAGCATCTTATAAATAACAGCAATTAAATGTTTCAAGGCATATAGATGTCATGGCTCCAGGGTAATGAACCTTTGCAATTAAATGTTCTTTAGACAATGGGTGTCGTAAATCAGTCACCATGACAACTTCCCTCCGTTACGTGAAGCTTGGACCCCAAGCTTATATGAGTCCAAATTGATATGTGTGAGTTTTTTTTCACCAACGAAAACAACCATGCAAATGTGATCAAAATCAGTTATATGAAATCCTTATGCAACAAATACATCTATGCAATGGCGGTATGAAAGTGATCATCTAGCCAATTTGAATTAGTGCCAGTTTGAAAACTAACCAAGTGATCTTTGTAATGTGCAATTTCATTACAACGTAATTACTGCTTTGCACAGATTCAATAAATATATCACTGAAGGTTCTTTGAATTCAAGAGTCTGGCTTGGCGGTGCGACTCAGTACCGAATAATGATAATGAGTAATGTCATAAAAAGTACAAATTAAACATCTCAGCAAATATTATGCATAAAGAAATTTGAAACCAGGAGTCTAGCTTTACCGCGTGACTCAAACGGTACTCGTGTGTACTATTGCCCTTTTAAGTACAATGGGTGCTCTTCCCGTGTCTTTGACGGAGCTTGCCCAGATATTGTGGGTGCGATGCCCAAGAAAAGAAAATCCTTAATTCTGACATCAAAACTCTGAAATGCTGAATACTGCTGTGCTGTTAATTACTTAATACTGACATACAATAAACATATGTGTGGGGGTGGCTCACCCAAGAATATCCCTAATCTGAATTCAAAGTCCTAGACAATACATTCAATTTTGTACCAAACTGTGCACATTAATAACTTGTAACAAATGACAAATTTTGTCGTTTAGATTTTTGAAATTACGAGTCGAGCTTTAAGGTGTGACTCGATAACCCTACAGCTCAGGTTTGTCTGGGCCCTAGCTGTATCTATATGTCTGGCGTGGCCTGGAGACATTTCAAAGATTCCCTACACAATAACTTCAAAGATCTAGCTTGACTAAAGATGTAATTTGGAGTATATTGCACATATATAAAACTGAATTTTTGAAAGACACATTTTGGCATTAATATTCTGGCTTTGATTAAACATACCTGGTTGCACTATTTAACAGTCACACAATATATATCCTTGATTGAGTCCATGTAAGTAAACACAAATTAGTAAGTCCCCATAAGACATCTGGTACACAGTGTCCATCTTGTAGGTGCCTGTAAGGCGGTTTCTGTATTGTGCAGGGTCTGCATGAAGATGGCTGTGGTCGGATCTCTGTGGGATATGCGTGTATACTTCTTTTCTTAGGTCATGTGCAGGAACGACATCTTGAAGGGGAAGACTTAGCAGTGTTGCTAAGATATTCGAGCAGGGAAGGTTTGGGATCGGAGAACTTGTTCTTGATCAGAGGGGTTCTTGTTCTTTCTTCAATCTTGTTACAGGCCGTTTCTTCGTTCTTGATGATTGGCCTTCAGGAAGGTAGTATATCCTTTTAATAAGAGACTGTCACTTCCTACAGTTTTGTGAACCATATGCCTTGCTGCAAAGAGGTACAGGAAAGGACAGACTAAGAAGTCATACCCGATAGCTCCACCAAATTAACAACGCGTGTCGGTGTTGACGTTGATTAATTAATAATTTGCATACTCATATATGCAAGGGGCCGACATATGGTTCTCAGTAGGAAGTGACAACTTGGAGACGATGGCTTGCGGTATATACAGTTTTACTTATACATGTGGATATATACATACAAAATACACAATGTGTCAGGTCAGCACATAGTGGTAGTGGTTGTTGTCTAGGTGCCCCGGAAGCACCCAGCCTAACCCTAGCTAGGCTAAGGGTAAGACCTTTCTTTTCCTCTCTCTCTCTTTTCAATCTTTTCTCCTTCTTCCTCTCTGGACCAAGGCTTATATAGCCAAGGTCACCTGACATTTAGTAAGTAATAAATATAAATGTAAACAGTAAATCATCAGTGACATACTTGCACATCCTGTTCAGGATGACAGACGGTCGATGTACACAAAACTGGGGATTAACAATTAGGATTAGCATCTTATAAATAACAGCAATTAAATGTTTCAAGGCATATAGATGTCATGGCTCCAGGGTAATGAACCTTTGCAATTAAATGTTCTTTAGACAATGGGTGTCGTAAATCAGTCACCATGACAGTATAATGAGAGGAATGCACATATGCTACCAAGACTGGCCCTTCTGTTCATCCGTCCGGCACTCCCAAAGGAGTTAGACACATGACCATAACATCCAAACCGATATTATCCCCACCCTATAGTAAACAGAAACATTGTATACATTTGTTTTTATGAAGAGAATAATACTATTATGGTATGTTCGGATGAACAAAAACCTTCCAAATGGCGTGCTGGTTTTCTTGGGGAATTAGTCAGCAAAGAGCCAGAGTCACAGGAGACTAATCACAATTTTATTTACAAGAACAATTAACAATGAGCAATTTACAATATCTTAAAATATAGCTGGGGGTGCCACAGAGAGTCGGTACAACCCTCTGGGCTGTGGGAGAGAGATCTGCTTGGTTAGAGCGACAAACCCCTTCTCTGCTTACTTACTTACTTACTTACTTACTTACTTACTTTGGAGATTTAACGTGCGCTTTCCGACTGATGCGTATTTCGCACACGGGCCCGGCCAGGCCATTTAATGTGTTTCCGAAAGGGGCGAAGGTGGTCTGTGCAACCCAAGAGGGGGGTTTTAGGGGTTGCTTATATAGAATTGGGGAATTTTGAGATTTCGAATAGATGCCGATGGGATTGGGGAGGAGAACTAAGGGAGCTGGGTATGGTGGATGTTTGTTTGTTTATGTGATTTTGATTTGGTAGGTTATTGTGTTTTTAGATGCGTTTTATTAGTTCCGTTTTTATTAAGAATACGCCTAAGGCCTTGAAGTTTTCTAGTTTATTTTGTGGGTTTAGTATTGCTTCTAGAGTTAGAGCCTTGTTTAGATTGAGGGTGGTTTGTAATGCGGTTCGATGTGTTAGGTAGTGTGTGCAGTGGATGAGTGCGTGTTCTGGGGTTTCTGGTTGTTTGCAGTGTGGGCAGTTACCTGTAGTGTGTTTTTTAAATTTTTTTAGGTGGTTATTTAAGTTGGTGTGTCCTGTTTGGAGTTTAGTGATTACTCTGTCGATTTTTTTGGATGGATGGAGAATTTTTGGTTTGGTTAGTGGTTTGCTGAGCACTTTTTTGATTTGGCTGTTTGAGTTTAGATATAGGTTATGCCATTTTTTGGTGATTTTTTGCTTGTTTACACTTTTAATTTCTGATTTTGAGATGGGTAAGTTTAAGCTTATTTCTGGGATTTTGAGGGATAGTTTAGCTGCTTTATCGGCGTTTTCATTACCGTATATTCCTACGTGGGCGGGTATCCACAAGAAGGTTATTTGTTTGCCTGCCTTAGTTAGGTCGTTGGAGCTTTGAAGTATTTGATTTATTAATTTAGGTCGGTTTTTGGTATTTTTGTTTTGGAGGGCTTGCAGTCCACTTAGGGAGTCGGTAAGTATTAGGATTTTTTTGTGGTTTTTTGATTCTTGATTATGTAGGGCTGAGGCCATGCCCATTAGTTCTGCCGTGAATATTGATTGGTTGTTTGGGAGTCGGAAGGATTGTGTGGTTTTAGTTGGTTTTGTGGTATGGACTCCGAAACCTGTGTGTTTGGAGGTCGGATCTGAGGATCCGTCCGTGTAAATGTGACACCAATTTGGCCAATTTTCGTGTATGTATGCTAGTGTGGTAGTTTTAGCTATGTTTGGGTCGGTTTGTTTATTTATTTGGCTAGCTAGTGTTGTGTCTATTTTGGGTATTTTAAGTTTAGGGGTGAAGATATTTGATTGTTTGCAGTTTTGTTTAAGATTTTTAATTTGGTGTTCATTTAGGTAGTTTGTTATTCTTTGGGTTATTGGGGTAAGTAAGGGGTGTTTACGAGCTAGAGCTTGGTTTTTGGGGCTGATGTTTTGGTTTATTAAGTTTTGGATGAGAGGGTTTGATTGGGACGCGGCCCAGAAATTTAAGCTTAGCTGTTCCCTGCGTAGACTTAGTGGCATTTCTCCTGTTAAGGCCTGAAGTGAGGTGTAGGAGGTGCCATGTTGGGTGCGTGTAATTAGTTTGAGAGCCTGATATTGTATTGAGTCAAGTTTTTTAGATAGGGAGTTGTTTAGGGTGTTGTATATGGCGCAGCCGTAGTCTAGTTTTGATCTAATTAGTGATATGTAGAGAGAGAGGAGGGTATCTTTGGATGCTCCCCAGTTAGATCCAGTTAGGCATCTTAGGGTGTTTAGGTCTTTACTGCATTTAGTTGTTAGGTTTTGGATGTGAGCATCCCAGGTGAGATGTTCATCGACAATAAGTCCTAAGAATTTGGTTTGTTTTTGAAATTTGATTGTTTGATT